ATGACCATAAGAGTCATGGTGTCCCTACATTAAGAATGCTGTGTAACTCTATTAAAAGTAATAGTGGAGGAGCTGATCCAGCTCTAGCTGATGAAATAGCAAAAGAATTTAATCTTACTAGTAGTGGAGAGGCTACTACATCACCAGTTCATACTTCATCTTTTAAAGGTAAATATATAATACTAGGCGAATGTAAAACATTAAGGGGCGAGCAAAACAATTAACATTTCGATTAGCAATATACAATGTCTATATAGACAATGATGTAGTGGCTATTAAACCTTGAATGTTGACTGATGTGAATGTGATGTCAATACACTAATGCAGAATTTGCATGGAAGGAATTTCATAGCTTCTAGCTTTGAGTGAAGAATCTCTGCAGTTATATAGATCTAGGATGGAAGATAGTTGGTCTCAGAAGCCAGAAGGAGACTCCATTTGTTGTCTTTGAGTGCAACAAGACCTATCTCTAGCATTACTATTGGACCTCCTCGCTCTTTTCTCCTCCTCAGTCTTGCTCCTTCTCACGCTTGTTATGAAGAAGTCGACGAGCTTCACAAGCATCTTCTTGTGAATAACTCATGTTTTAAGCTTCAGCTTCTCTTGTTCTTAAATACTCTTCAGAGGCGTATTTAGGGGGGGCTGAGGGGGCTTGAGCACCCCCCTCAGGGCTGGGCTCAGAAAAAATTACTGAAGTCCTGGACTCTTGCATCACTACCAAGCCTCTTAACAAAGTTATCTAGCCCCCTTATTATGATTTCAGCAGTTTCCAGTGCTTTAAGGAGCAATCAGAAGTACCAGTAACATAGCAGTATGTTTGAAATGATCTTGGCCCCACCCTAGCGTAGCCCCACCCATAATTGACGAAAATGCAGGAAAAGGCCGTTTTACCGCCATAAAAGTGGGTGTGGCCAAAATTGCGGCGCGCTTCGCGCGCCCTTAGCACCCTCCTTCCCCAGTTCCTAGATACGCCCCTGTAAACCCTGTACTATTATAGTACAGTGACTTGGGTCCGATTTGAGAGAACACTTTAAGACTTTGTTAAAAAACCCAATTTTGATTGGAATGATCTGAAACTTTCTACACAACTTAAGTACATGCATTATGTATCAGAAAAATTTATAAAAATGAAAAAATCTAAATGTGGCTTATACCATCATTGTTGGTGAATAGTCTCCAAACATGGTATCAGGATTCTTAATAAAAGGACCAACAACCTAAACAACAACAATGACACATAACGAGAGGCATGTTTATATATTACATACACAGGCTCTCTTGAATTTATTAGCAAGAGGTAGAAGAGGTAGAAAAGGTGAGCCGTTAAATTCATTCTTCATTAGTACAATGCTCTCCATTGCAGCTTGAAGGGCTATCTTAATGTGTGTATCACTTTGTATGATGGAGAGTGGAATACTAGGAAAAACTCATTTAAAAACAATTTACAAATGACAATGTAATCCTTCATGTGTACATTGTATATACTATCATAGTTTCTCTTCATTTCTCTCTTACTTGGCATAAGGGTTATTATTATCAGGTGGATCAAACTCTCCTAGTTTTGTACGAACGTAGAACAACCTACTCACTGCATCTTTAAGAGTATCAACGCTAACAAGACCCTAGAGATAGGTGTGAGAAGGAAAAAGGGTTGAAATATAAAGTAAAAGAAATAAAGAAACTCTTAAGTACTTTTTCAACAGCATCATCAAGGTTTTCGAAAACATTGCCATCTTTATCTTCACTGTTGCCATCTTCAAGGCAAGTGCCAGCATTGGCAGCTTCAGCAGCAGCTGTCACAAAATCAGGAGCATAATGATGCTGTGTGACAATATTCTCTGGAAAAAGAAAGTGTAAAGAGAGAGAGAGAGAGAGAGAGCAGGGGAAAAAAGAATGATATAAAATGAGGCAGAAAAAATTGAAGATAAACATGTAGAATAAGTGATATTAGGTTTTATGAACCTAGTGCTCCTTGATCGCTCACTACGTAGCCTTTAAAATTCCACTCATTCCTTAATATATCTGTGAGGAGCTTTTTATTGGCACAAGCAGGGACACCATTTATTCTATAGAAAATACACACAAATTCAAAATATAAATTACACATTGTTTCCACCTGTTGTAACTGCACATAAGACTAAGAGCTCCAGCTTCAACACAAGCTTTGAACTGAGGAAGAAACGTCATTCGCCAATCTCTCATTGTAACCTGTGACATGGAAAGAAAAAGCGTATTATTATTTAAAAATTAAACATTGGATATTGTGATGATATAGTTACCAAGTGTAATAATTATAATAATTATCAGGTGCAGTTTATTCTCAGAGTAGTATCATTAATTTAGTGGGAGGATTATAGTAAATTATAGTCTTCTTACGTTAGCATCAAATGAAAAACGTGGCACTGGAGTGTCCTCTGGCCCACCATGTACATCAAAATGCTTACAGCCAGCATTAGCAATTACATAAGTAGGATCATCTATTAAAATAAACATAAAATAATTAGAAATTTGAAAATAACTCACCTCCTTGTAATCCAGTGACAAAAGCTTGTCCTAAATAACTAGACAGATATGGATCCTCTCCATACGTCTCCTGTATAATGAGTGTTATCAACAGGTAAATTTAGTTTTGATATGCTTGCCTGGTTTCTTCCCCAACGTGGGTCTCTCATTATATTCAGAACAGGACTCCTGGAAATTAAAACAATCTCAAACAAAAACAAACTCAATTCCTTATTATAAAAGCAGTTTCACATTCATCTACTAAACTTTCCCTTCTTCATTATAGTTTAATCCTTACCAGCAGCTGAGTCCAGTGTGAAAAGCATATGATCCATTAAGAACAGCTGCAGTATTTTTAGCTCTCACTTCGTAGGCAGTAGCATTGGATACTTGCTTCAATAGATCATAATTGAAAGTAGCAGCCTATCATATTGAAGACACAATAATAACATTAACAAAACTCCTAGTCTATTGTTTTCAAAAGCATACATAGCACAGAATGACAAGATACACAAAAGTAATGGAATATTGTATAAACAATGATCACACTACACGGAATATACTAACTATTAATTTTGCAATGTATATATCCCTACTCCCTACATGATAATAGTATAATTATTCATAATAATAGTATATTATATGTACACTCTTGGTTTATCAATTGAAGAGAGGGAAAACATGCAAGTGATACACACCAGCTAATTAAATATAATCATGTGATAGGTCAGTGTACACATAATAACCACTAAATCATCAGAGCATGCCAAACACAGGCTGAACATGAAGCATGAGGTAGTTAACTCTCAAATCCCTCCCTCTCTTTTCTTTCTTTCACTCTCACTCCTCCCTTACCATTCCTATAGACATTGGGAATGAGGTGGCATCACCAGCACCCACATCACCAGAGAGACACTCAGTACCCCACTGATAAGGCTTTATATTTAAGTCAGGAATACCGGGAGCAGGACCTAATAGAAATAACGATACATAAAGAGAATAAAATTAAAGGCTACTATTTGAGACTAGTAGAATCCAGCCCCACCATAAATTATGCATTAAACCATGATTAATTGTAGCATACTATCATGATAATATTGACAGACATACCATTATTTCCAGCACCACCATGAGCCATTTGCTCTACTAACTGAGCTAAAGTAAGACGATCAACAATATCCTGCATAACAGAGGATGGACATAGAGTAATAATTTTGGCTATTGCTTTACTTTGACTCTTTCTTCAATGGGTAGAGAGGGATCTCGGAAAGGGAACTCAGGCACATAGCTGTTACCGAGAGCCAAAGAAGAGAATACAAGAGAGAAAACCAGCAGCAACTCCATCGCGATCGAAAATCGACGTATATTGATTACGAGGATTCGATCGAGGAAATTAAAAATGTGGGTATGCAGGTGTGTCCGGAGGTGTGTTTGATTTAATTAATTAATTAATTAACCGTTACAAAAAGCACGTGGTTTGACGCATGCGCAGTAGAATCCAACATGGCGGCACACATCACCCGCCCACCAAAAGAAATGGACGTTTAGCTTGGTGGGAATATATTCTGTACTAAAGCTCTTGTTTCGAGTCAGTCACAGGTGCCAGTAAAGAACCACTTTCCCGAGGACTCATTCCCTACACCATGAGCCAAGAGTGGCTCTTATGATAACAATAGGAGAAATGTGTACACCAGAAGAAGAGTGGAACAACAAAGACGAGATATACATAAAGCGCCGCGATGAGTTCCACGTAAAACTCTTCAAGTTCCACAAGGACAACAAGTGAGGAGAAGGACAGAGACCCGGTCTTAATCCCGTCCTTCTATCCATGCGCGTTTTCCCGCGCGAGGAGAATTACCCGCCAAAAAATTTGTATACATCTCTCCTCATTTGACCAAGCCCCACATTAAAATTACTTTTGATAAATGAAACTCCTCTTGATTAAATGGAGTGTCCTGAGTGTAGACCGAAGTCCCTAAAAGCCTACATGCTTTATATAATATAACATTTTAAATCACATTAATTTTTTTTATTTGGCATGTCTCTTCTTACATTCTGCTTTCAATAACCTTTTATTAACTTTCTGTCCCCCCTCTCTCTCTCTCACACACATACACATTTTCAAATGCTTTCCCTATCTTTTATCTCTCCTCATCCTCCTCTCTTATCTACCTCTCCCCCTTTCTTTATCTTCTAGTAACTCTGTAAAGAGGGTTCCCCTACTAGGTGGTAGAGAATTGGATTTATATCATCTTTATTTGAAAGTCAAGTCGCTGGGTGGTTCCAAGCGTATCACCCAGGACAGGCTATGGGGCGATGTCGCTCGGAGCTTTAATCTACCAGCGTCAGTAACGAGTGCCTCTTATGCTTGTAGACAAAACTTTATTAAGTAAGTTAATCAGTATTATTATAATCATGTCCATCTGTGTTTTTCTATGTGTGCTAGTTAAATTATAAAGAAGTGAGGTTTGTGTGTGTGTTCTATGTTATGTCATAATATGTTTATGTATGTATGTGTGCTGTGTATTTGTATGAGTAATTTATTTTATTGTGTATAAACATAATTTCTGTATACATATACATGTACATCTACATGTACCATTCGTGTTTGTGGTTGTATGCTTATAAGTTTTGTGTATTGAACATGTCAAAACTGACAGTTCACGTGTATGCTTTTATTGAGTGCATATACTGTACATTTACATGTACAGTGTATGTTTATTTGATCTACTTTTGAGGAAAGATCATGTGTATCTGCCATTACACATAAAATGTGCATGTGACTGAGTATATTTTTCCTAAAGCCTTTGAAATGTCAAAATTACCCACCTTAGAATATTAAGTTTTAATAATAATGATAATAATAATGAATGTTGTTAGATAATTACAATATTGCTAGAATAATACCAAATAATACTTATTCCATTATTGTAGATACCTTGAGCCATACGAGAGATATGAAGCAGGGGAACAACCTTTCATTCCTTTAGCTGACATCGGTCCTCGCCGCCTTACCTTTCAACCCACCCTATCACAACCCTCCCAGCCTTCACCCTCTCCCTCTAATAATTCCTTTCTAGTCTCTAAATTCTCTCACTTAACGAGCGTCCCTGGGTTTGCTAATTTGTTAAAGCAAGTCGAGAGGTCTCCTGAACTCATAGGACAACTGGCAAACCTTCCTAGTCTATTGCAGCTGCCGCCTAACCAGCTCCAACTTGTTCAACTCCTGCTCCAGCAAATGGCAGCCATACATGCTACAAAAGGAAAAGGAGGAGAGAAGGGAGCTTTTAGGGGATCAGGGAAGAACTGTGGCTGGTTGGTGAGGTCGTTGGAGTGCGGTCTACCCAATGAAGTTGATCTTTGTATGAATTGTTTGCTTATAATGTCGAGTGAGGAGGAGACCAATGGACGGGAGGGCTTACTTGTTCAAGATGTACCTCATTTACTGCCAATGCTACTGGCACATGTGGGAGTGTTTAACTCAGGTAAGGAGAGGGAAAGAAAATAAGAGGAGGAGAGAGAGGGGGTGGAAAGAGGGCCAGCAGAATAGAATGTGGAGAAATATTGCCATTTTAAGGTATAGCTAGTCTACCTATCTTTTTTAGATGAGACAAGTTTGGAGTCATTATATGTTGAGTGGTATTCTCAGTCTGAAATTGATTTCTTAGCATTTTGGCAAGAAGTAGTGCCAGAATGGGTGTGTCTGACTGCACTGGCTAATCAATTTGAAGGTAGAAACCTTCTCTATCACTTTCCTTTCATATTATTCACCTTCTCCCTTCCCTAATTCCTTCTCTATAGATACAAGTAGAATGAGTTTTTTCCCAGAAAGAGCTGTCTTAACACATGATGCTATTGAAAGTTTTCGTGCTACACAAGTTTCGCTAATTATCAGGAACTTGTCACTCAGCAAACGGAATGCTCAGTATTTTGCTAAATGCGACTCTACATTGAGGTATTGCAATAAGTATTTAAAGCACTTATTTACATTTGTTATTATTATTATTATTATTATTATTATTATTATTATTTATGGGTGTACACTTTTTAGATTTTTGCTATTGTGCCTCAACTCATCTTTACCAGAACTCAAGAATCAATCTCTTGATGCACTGGCAGGCATTGCTCCTTATGTAAGTATGCATTATGACATTAATAATGTATCAGAAAATGTAATAAAAATTGGGGGTGATTTCAGAACCATTTTTCAGAAAAAACTATGGGCTATAGTACAGGGATTTTTTCAGAAATTGGCCCATTTTTTTAAATGGTTATAACTCAAAAAATTTAAGTCGGAATCCACTCAAACTTTCTACATAGCATATGTACATCAATATGTATCAGAAAATGTAATAAAAATTGGGGGTGATTTCAGAACCATTTTTCAGAAAAAACTATGGGCTATAGTACAGGGATTTTTTCAGAAATTGGCCCATTTTTTTAAATGGTTATAACTCAAAAAATTTAAGTCGGAATCCACTCAAACTTTCTACATAGCATATGTACATCAATATGTATCAGAAAATGTAATAAAAATTGGGGGTGATTTCGGAGCCATTTTTCAGAAAAAACCATGGGCTATAGTACAGGGATTTTTTTAGAAATTGGCCTGTTTTTAAAAATGGTCATAGCTTGAAAAATTTAACTCGGAATCTGCTCAAACTTTCTTACATAGCATAAGGACATCAATATGTATCAGAAAATATAATAAAAATTGGGGGTAATTTCGGAACCATTTTTCAGAAAAAACCATGGGCTATACTATAGTACAGGGATTTTTTCAGAAATTGACCCATTTTTTTTAATGGTCATAACCCAAAAAGTTTAAGCCATAATCTGCTCAAACTTTCTACACAGCATAATTACATCATTATATGTCAGAAAATGTAATAAAAATTTGGGGTGATTTTGGAGCCATTTTTCGGAAAAAACCATGGGCTATAGTACAGTGATTTATTTTAAACCTTTACATGTACATATATCCCTTTGATTATCACATGACTGTCATGTCTATTGTTCCATTTTGTAGCTGGTGATAGAAGGTGATGATGATGACAGTATTAGTCATTTGCTATTGATGAGTGTTTATTCTTGTGTATTGTCTTATGACAGGAACTCTATAATTCGAGGTACATATAAAATGAATGCATTTTTAAATAACTAATTTTCAATTGCCTGTAAAAAATATGCTAGAGTCCATAATATTCACAAGAAATTATTAAAGTACATGCATGTTTTATTTGTGTCATTCTCTAATCATCAGCAAATGCTCTCAATTTGTGTCAGCTTACCTTACCTGAATGTAGTTATTTTACTTTATGAGATTCTTTATTTTTTAAAAATTAGTGTTTAATGCACGCATGTACATGTACATGTACAAGCTGTAGATGCTAATGCAGCCCATAAACTATGATTACATGTGCATTACATTTTACTCTTATTTTTAAATATTTTATTCTTATTTTTTATATATAATTACAGGAATGGAGATATTAGGTGGTTTCTCATTGAGCGTCTGTAACAAGGCCACTCTAATTAATGCCCACAGCGACCTACTAAACCGCATGCTGCAATTATCCCTCCTACCCGACTATTTGCTGGCTCAAACGTGTCTGGAGACTCTCTACAAGCTCTCGCTGTGCGGTCGAAAACTGAGCGAGAGTATTTTACACTGCGATAGCTGTATTAAGATATTATTAAGTTTTTTAACCCTCTCAGTTGAAGACAGGTCTTTGCATGGGCTTGTCGTCTTTCATTCGAACGGGAAAGAAGAATCGGCAGTTTTGACCAATCAAGTTCCACCACAAGAAAGTCTCTCCGGAATGATCTCTGCGACAAAAAGTTTGTCCGGAGCCGGTCAAGTAACAGGAGGTCTTAGTGCCAGCTCCAAGGGCTTGACTGGTGCTAAGATTAAAGGACCTGCTCTTCCTTTTACTCCTTCCTCTATATCTAATGCATCTGGTAAACAGCTTCCTACTGGTAGACAGCCAGTGGCTGCTAAAGTGGATAAGCCGGCGGTTAGTAGTGAGTCACTGTTGGAGTCGAAACTGACTTTTGCTATACAATGGTAAGGACAATTTTATGCTCTAGTATTGTTGGTGTGGGTGTGATTGGATTGTGAAGGAATTATTAGTATAAGCTTACTATAAAGAAGTGGAGAGGTTTTTGCTTTTTTATTATAATTTGTTCTATGCATGTTTTTTCCTCTAATTTTGTGCATATCATTATTGATGACATCGATTCTGATCATAAGTTTTTTAACTTTAAAAATTCCTGAAAAATCCAATCTTGATTGGAATCAGTTCAACTTTTATACACAACATAAAAACATGTTTATGTATCAGGAAAAAATATAAAAATAAAGAATTCTCTAGTTTTCATTTTTGGTGAAATTTGGCCATTGACACTGTACTATAGTACAGGGACTTTGGCCTGATTTTGGAGCAACTTTAAAAATTTGTAAAAAATTCAATCTTGATTGAAATCAATTCAGATTTTCTACACAACATAAGAACATCTATTCGTATCAGAAAAAAATATAAAAATGGAGAATTCTCTCCTTTTCATTTTTGGCGAAATTTGGCCATTAATTGTATTACATATGCATATGGTTCAGGCACTTTAGCCCGATTTTAGAGTAACTTGAAAAATATGACTTATGCATAAAGTTTAAATGATTTTAGTGTCAGATTTTTTTTGTAATTTAATCTTTAGGCTACAGTCTGAATACATTCCCAGTCAAGAGGAGTTCATTCCAAAGTTGGACATATACAGCAAGTACCTTGGACACTGTGCACAATTGAAGTATACCACTGCTGCCACACAACCTGAATTTGATTTAATATTCAGGTAAGTGTACATGTACATGTATATATCATTCACACATGCATGTCCATTATGATGATGATGATATGGCTATCGTAGCTGCATGTACATGTATATCTTTATGAAGTTTGGCAACAATTTTCAGTAATTTCCTTTTTGCTTAATGAAAAGAATCATTTGATTCTTAACTGATGGACATTATTATTATTATTGGATGTTCAGTGCAAAACTTGATTATTTTTTCTCTCCATTCCATTCATTGAATGTCATGATAAAATGTACATGTACAGTAGATTTGAATTCTAGTCCCTTATCCTACTGGTCTATATCTTTACTTACATGGCTATACTTTTATTGTAGGAAAGTGTTTCCCAGTGCTTTCTTTGCATCAATAAAGATTGGAGGTAAAGATCTTGAATTGGTGGGTGGAATAGGAGTCAATAAGAAACAGAATCTTTTCTCTTCACCTGCTAAGACTCCTACACCTCCTCCTCCTCCTATTTCTCTCCCTTCTTCAGCCCCATCACCTCTAACTGTGTCTAATAAATCAACTACCATAACTACTGGTAGTGTTTCACTCCAGCAGTCTTCTCCAATAGTAGCATCACAAACTACAGCTTCATTACCACAGTCTGTAGTATCAGTATCACAGATCACTGCATCATTATCACAGCCTGTAGTATCAGTATCACAAGCTATGTCATCAGTATCACAAACTACAGTATCAGTACCACAGCCTTTATCATCATCAGTACCACAGTCTGTAGTATCAGTATCACAAACTATGCCATCAGTATCACAAACTACAGCATCAGTACCACAAATCATAGCCACAGTATCACAAACCACAGCATCAATATCACAAACCATACAGTCAGTATCACAGCCCAGTAACACTACAGTACAGTCTAGTGGCTCTATAGGGCCACAGCAGTTGACCAGTGTACTCTCGCAGTCCATGCCACTGGTGACCAGTGTACCCTCGCAGTCCATACCACTGGCAACCAGTGTACCCTCACAGTCTGTGTCACTGGTGACCAGTGTACCCTCGCAGTCCATGCCACTGGTCACCAGTGTACCCTCGCAGTCTGTGCCACTGGCGACCAGTGTACCCTTGCAGTCCCAGCAATCTTCTTCATCACGTTCACCCTCTCCCTCCCTCTCTCCTCTCCAGCAGTTAATTCAAGCTACAAAGACACACTCTACTGCTAATTCTAAGACTACAGCTAAACCTTCTCCTCTCATACAGTTCAAGAAAGTCTCGGCGGGCAAGGGAAGCAAAAAGAAGTCCCCCAAAGTAAACGGCTCTCCCACTTTCAACTCAATCACTTATCCTCATGCACTGGTCAATAATGTAAATAACTCAATGAGGATTCCTTTGTCACTAGCAGCAGTACAGGATATCACCAGTAATGAAGGTGGACTAGAGTCAGGAGGGACCATTGGGAAGGCTAGCAATACCGATAGCATATTGTGTACTAATGACACAGTGATGGAAGTAACTGGATTTGGTTCACATACTTTGAATGGTCTTAGCAGTACCAATGGAGTCATGAGATCAATTGGAAAGAGAGAGAGATCAGTTGATGCACATGCAACTGGTACTAATCCTACAAAAAAGCAAAAGACTGATCTAACCGAGAGCAACAAGCTACATGTAACACAATTCCTTTCTTCACATTTTCTTAAAGAGTCATCCAATTCTTCTAATGGCAGTCTAACTACTTACAGTTCTCCTCAAAGGTCAAATCAAAGGTCAGTGAGTCCTGCTGCTACCAGTGATAAAGGATCATCTACTCCTTCTCATCGAAATCGCTCCTCCTCTCCCTCTTTCACTCCTAAACCTGTTCCAGTAACCAGTTTGGTTTCCAATGACTCTTTAAGATCAGCGGAACATTCTCCTGGCCCTTCCTCCTCCTCCTTGTCGACTCCTCCCCCTCCTGATTGTTTAAAGTCTACTTGTCTCTGGGAGAACTGCTTCTTGTAAGTTACAAGTTGTTATGTACACTAGCTATACCGTATTGTTATGCTTATATTTTAATAGCCAAAAATGGCTATAATTAAAATTAATAATAATAATAATAATAATAATAATAATAATAATAATAATAATAATAAGGGTATTACACATGTACACTATACAGCATGTATAGACTCGTATATGGTATAATTAAGATCAAAGATGTACTATACAGCATGCATGGGTATTAAAGGTGGAAATGACGGTATGTAACAGACAATACTAAGTCCATCATTATCAGGTAACCCAGTGATAGTAAGTACTGATGATAAGTTACCAGGACCACCACCAGGATCAGTAATTAATATATCTCTTTGTTGTTTAACTGATTCTGTCAGTGGAGCACTCCCTACTAGCCAATTCAGTTCATTGCCAGTTCCTTCACAAATGGGTGTGTTTTAATTGTTTGCAAATAATACAATTGCAGTGAGCCTTAGTGTTACTATAGTTCACTGGTGCTGCTTGGGGATTTCAAATGAGGTTGATTTAAGGCATATTGCATCATGTGAGGATAGTAAACTTTTGTTAGTGCATGGGTCTGTTTTAATATTTTATCTCCAAATTGAATCCTTCCCCTCCCATTCCCACTATGTTTGTGTAAAGTGTTGACATGCTGATATGGAATGATGGCCTCATCAATAAGATAACCTCTTGAGATTATTTACTCACAAACAAATAAACACCTTATACGTTGCTTGGGAATATTTGTCATGTATTGATTGATGTACTTGTACTCTGATCACCTAATGTAACGCGTGTCTCCTTGGTTTCTATGCATGGGCTTCTGTTGCTACTACATGTACATGCACATATAAGTAGATGTATTTATATTTGGTGTTTTATTTCTTTTGTCATTAGGAGATATTCCTCCTATTCAGAGCTCTTCTCTCACATTTATTACACTCACATACCACAAATCAACTCTTTCCCTGTCCCTTGCCCCTGGTCTGGCTGCTCTAACAAGAGTAAGAGAATGAAGCCTTCCCTTATAAGACACATACAGGTATGGATCATGGAAAAGAGAGAGAGAGAGAGAGAGAAGGGAGGTTGGGAGAGAAGAAACAATAGAGGGGAGATTGAGCTTTGTAGATATAGAGAAAGGAGTGTGAAAGTTTTATTTGAGGCTTACTATCAATAGTTTGGCTGTATATACACATCATTAATTTTTTCTATAAAAGTGCTGTACTACATAATTATTGAGTTTTACTACACAGTGTGTGTGTGTGTGTGTGTGTGTGTGGTGTTGCACATTTTAGGCTTCGTACTCTCTCCCTCCCTCTTTCCCTTTCTATAGACTCATCACTGCTCGTCTGATTCTAAACCAGTTCCTCTCAATGTTGCTGACACACTCATCAAACTGAAGCTTGTGTCTCCTTTACAAGTGAGCGCATTACTATACACTAATACTAAAATGTGCATCTAATGTATAAACATGAATCAAGTACTAGCTGTTATTAGCTTATTTGAAACGTTGCCAATTATAATTAGTAAAATAGTGTGTATCTTAAAGTTTACATTATTGATTAGTCTCTTTTCTTTTATAGAATGAGCATGAGTCTTGTTTCACGCGCTGCTTAAGACTCACTGCTGCCCTCATACTAAGAAACCTTCTTGATAAAGTCCCTGAATCACGGAGGTGAGTATCAGCCTTTTCTCATGCCCCACTATCACATTGTAATCGTATTAATGCAATCATACTACCATACTACCATAGTTCACGTGCTTCTGCCTAATAATTTAATTATTTAATTTTGCTCATTATTAAATTGGAATGCAAATTATTTACACATATTGCCCGTTACTGGTTTGCATGTATCTCTAATTGATGCATCTGTTTACACAAAAGAGTGTAGTTTATCCATAAAGGAAATGAAAATTAGAATGTACATTGTACATTTGTGTATTATTCATAATAGCAGTGTGTATGTATGATGCTACTGATGTATTATTCATGTTATAGTTGTTGTTTTCTTTGTTGTAGATATGTTAAACCATACGAGAGGTTACTGTCTCAGGTCTCTTTCTCTGATAATGAAGCTAGTCATGTCACAGCCCACTGTCTCTTCTTGCTCTCTTCTCCCCTTCCTCCTCTCTCTACCCCTACCTCTCCAACTTTCAGTTAACTCTTGTATTTGTTAACCTTATCATCCCTCTCTCTCTCTCTTTGAGTTTCTTTCTTTTACTACAGATGTTTATTTATTCGAAAGTTAAAGGAAAAATTATAATTATGACCGCAATATTACTGGAAATAATAATAATAATGAAGATTTTGATAGTAATTATTCTGAAGATGAATGAAAAATGAATGAGGAATGATTGATAGTACATTGCATGTATTGAAAGAGAGTGTGTTTTATCATCATGTGTCCTTCATGTGATCAAGAGTACATACCATTGATAAGGTAGTCCACATTGTGATAGTGTTTCTTCTTTCTGTTTGAATGGAGTCTGTGTATAACTGCAGCAACAGTCAGTACTACTAGTAGGAAGAAAGCAGACCCCATCACTAGACCTATGATGAGACCACTACCACTGGAACTACCACAATCACTGCCAGCACAAGCAGGCAAGTGTTCCTCTTCATTCCCATCCACTGCATTATGTGGCTGCTCATTTGGACTACCAGTCTCTACAGTCCCATCAATAGTGCTGCTTCCTGTAGTAACTGATGGCGCTGGGCTTGGCTGCATTACCCCGTCTATACTGGTTTGAGTAGTACTGGGTGGATTAGTAAGCATAGCCCCAGGTGAAGGTATTACACTGCTTCTGTGTATAACGGCAGAGCTTGAAGTTGAAGATGATGATGGAGTAGGCCTAACACGAGTTATTGTTACAGAGGCTCTTGAAACTGATTTCGATTGAGTACGAGCCGGCAAGGAGTATAATGTACTGGTTGATTCCACTTTTGTTGTTGCCTTTTCAGGGATGACAGGCTGCTCTTCATCTAGAGAAAAAAAAAGAGAATTTATTTAAAAAAAGGAAAGATGAGGAAAGAATCTCAAGGACTAAGCTACATGTATAATAATGTGGAATTTTGACCTAATTTCATTTGACATGCATCGCTGGCTTGTCACTCTAATAATAATGAATCTACGCTACTTTATCACATGAGACCAGTCAATAGTATTATACATAACATCCTCGTGCCACAAAAGAAATAAGAGACTGATAATGAGGACACATAGACTCAACATAGATGCACGAGTGCTCATGCATGATCTTCCTTCCATTTTATAATAATATTTCATTTCACCATTATTATTGATTTTACTGTTTCTACGTGCATCTTTTAACTAGTAAATAAGTGAATGAGAGTTCTACAAGTTCTACTAATCATAGTAGCTACTGGTAATTTAATTTTAGAGGGTTACCACATCTTTGGCAAAAATGACACCTCACTATTGTAAATGCATAACAGCAAGAGTGGATAATAATAGTACATTATACACTAAGCCCCATTCCTCTTCCTTACTTTTTTCAAAGTACGTAGCAGTGAACTGACTGTGGTGTGCCATGATACAGTTGCTCTTCTCCTTACACTGAATGAGGTAGCAATTGTGTTTAGTGCTGCCATCGCTATTGTAAGTATCCTGGCTCCTAAACAAGGCCATGTCACAGCTATCATCATAGCAACAGCTCTCCAGGCAGTCTGGGTAACTAGAGGCGCTGCTTCCTGCCAAGAGTCTTGCCCCTAGCTCTCTTGATTTCTTTATGTCGACTATTCTACCATCATAGGATCTGTGATGTCTTCCACTAGCAGAACATATTGTGTCATCTTCATAGACGTGGCCGGCAATGGCCAAACTGACAGTCAGAAAGATAAGTATAATCCCTGCAAGAGACTTCATTCTAAAAGACAAAAGGAGAGAGAGATTCTGCTCTCTTGTCTCTTCCCTTGTATGTTCACGGAAATGATGTCAAGTTTGTTTGTTGCATGCATAGGCGTGTTCAAACCAGGGGGCGCGGTTGATATCTATGCGTGGGCGAGTGCACGCCTCCTAGCTACATGTGGTTAAAGTAAACGGAGAATACCATAATCAGTATATTATCCGTTTCCTTCAATTCAGCATGGTAAGTTGACATTAATTATTTTTTCATCACTTACTCTCCATCTTTTAAATATAGTTTAGAAACCAGTACGATAATGACGTTGCTACATGGAGCCCCCAGGGAAGACTCCACCAGATCGAGTACGCCATGGAAGCAGTCAAACAAGTAGGCGTGGTACCCCAATCATATTCTAATTAAAGAGCAAATGTGCAGAAAAAATAATTTTACGACTTACTTTTTTGGTAGGGTTCTGCTACAGTAGGTCTCAAGTCGAAAACTCACGTCATCTTAGTTGCCCTCAAACGCTCCACGTCTGACCTATCTTCCTATCAGAAAAAGATTTATCCTGTTGACGATCACGTGGGCGTGTCTATAGCCGGACTTACAGCCGATGGTCGCCTGTTGTGCAAGTTCATGAGGACGGAGTGTTTGAACTCGCGTTATGTTTTTAATTCCGCTCTGCCTGTTTCAAGGCTTGTCTCTTCTGTTGGTAACAGTATCCTTTTATCCCATCCCTCCCTCCCTCCCCCTCCTCATACACATACACATGCTTCTCTTGAAATAATCTATAATAATAATAATAATTATTATTATTATTGTTATTATGTCCGGTAGACTAGGATTTATAAGAACTTAATAGATTCAATAAACGTTGATGGGTTAATGGTTATATATATTTTCACTTAAAGAAAATGTTTGTGCAAACATCTTGAACAACTGGTATAGCTAAAAATTCACTTTGTCAACTGTTAAGTATTTTTTAAACTTATCCATGTATTGCACTTCTGTGATCAAAGTTTATGCTTTAAATAATAGCAAAATCTAATTTTTCAATTTTTTGGCCCAAATGACGCTTCATCCTCTTTCGGTACACATACATGTACATGTACAGTATTGTTATGTCTGAATCATGCTTCAATTGTGGTGTGGCATGCTAATCTAATTAAGCAAGATATTTGTTGACACACAAATTGTAATACAATATAACAAAGGAATTCCCTATGATAATGATGTATATCCACCCAAAGCCACAAATAGCCTCTGGCTTGGATGAAATTCTAGCTATTTTGTCATGTCAGACCAATTCTGTTAGCAATTAGTTCCTTATCCTGCTTCAGTACAGTCTGACAATGTGAGTTGACTGAATATTATGAATTAAACAAGCAATGCGAATGTGTTAGTATGATTATTATTTTATGATTCTTATTTTTCTTGGTAAAGTACAGCTATGCAGGTGCAGTCAGGATTTCTCACAAAATGTGAGCTAAGTAGCATCATGCTTCATGAGCTGACAGACAGTATGTGTCGTTTGGCCAACTTTAAAAATTCATAAAAAATCCAAATTTGATCAGAATCAGCTCAAATTTTCTATACAACTTAAGAACAAATATATATGTATCAGAAAAAATTATTAAAATGGAGAATTCTCTCTTAGTCATTTTTGACGAAATTTGGCCATTGACCCTGTACTATATAAGTACAAGGTGTATCATACATTAATGCCCACACAATCAGTTTAATATGTAATTGTAAGGCTATAGAAAATGATACATTTGTATTTCCTTGACTCTTGTGTCAACACTAGAGATGCAATATTGCACACAGTTTTATGGTAGACGTCCCTATGGTGTTGGCATGCTCATTGCTGGCTATGATGTAAGTATATGTATAGTTATGTACATGTATATGTGAATGTGATAAACCATCTATTTCTCTCATCAATCATTATCTCTTTCTTCTTTCTCCCTCCCTTCATTCTTTCCTATTCCTCTATTTTATTTTCTAGTTGCAAGGTCCCCATTTATATCAGACCTGTCCATCCTCTGATTATTATGACTGCAAGTGTATGGCCATTGGTGCCAGGTCACAGTCTGCCAGGACTTATCTTGAAAGAAAACTTGACAGCTTCCCAGATGGTGAGGGGAGAGAGAGAGAGAGATCAAAAAGAGAAAGAAAAAAGTAGTTCATTATGTGAGAGTGGCAGTTATGTTAGGGCAGTCTTGTATTGTGTGTCTATTTTAAAATTTGATTTAGCTTCTCTTGATGAGTTGATTGGACATGGGTTGCTTGCTTTGAGGGAATGTTTACCATCAGATTCAGAACTGACATCAAAGGTTAGTGTGACAGTGTGTTAGCCACATCATCATCATTATTACTATTATTATTATGACCTCTCTCCTTTATGTAGAATGTGAGCATTTGCGTTGTAAGTGCAAACAAGAAACTTGACATTATGGATGATGACAGAGTCCAGCCTTATGTATCCTGAAACTTATTAGAATTAATACAGCAATGATGATTCCATATCTTGTATTAGGGCTTTTCTCATTTATTATCCCTTCTTTCATTAGAATTGCATGTGTATTCGTGATTCCTTAATTAATAGTGAACGACTGCTCGTGTTTCGTCATATGCATTAAGGCTATACGCATGTGTGCTTTTAGCCATACATGTACATGTATGTCCGTGCTTGTGTTTAGTGACAACTGATAAATTGTTGTTGTAAAGTTGGCAAGAGTTGATTGTTTGTATATTGAGATTTCTCTTGTATACTAACTGTGCATTTCTTCACAAGAAGAATCAATTTCACATTATGTCTCTGAGCATCTTCCTTAACTTCCCCTCTTCCTTTCACAGTTGGATCAAATGGACAATACAAAAGGAGGAAGGCGACAAGACCAGGAGGTGCAGTGTGATGTGACATCTTGATTACATTTTAACCTTTGTATTGCATGTGTGTGTGTGTGTGTGTGTGTGTGTGTGTGTTATTTGGTGTCATTATATTGAGGGGTTTTATTGAGAAGAGGATGGGCACATGTATTATGTACATTGTACATGCGTAATTGATATTAGGAATATTTATTATTATTATTATTGTTATTATTAATCATTTCTAGGAAGAGCAAAGAGCGGCAGATGATATGCAGGTATGTAATGTTACTAATGTACATTATTATTATTATTATTTTGTTATTTATTTGTTTTAGACTGAACAAGAGGGACAGCCACTTGAGCCACCATCAGATCAAGTAAGAAGATAGGGGAGAGTGTAGAACTGGTATGATAATTAATATTGAACGCTGTCTACTTTTAGGGAAGAACTGATGAAGATTCAATGGAGCATTGAATCAGGAATCTTGAGGATTTTAGGGAACATTTATGTGTATGTGTGTGCATCTGTTTATTGGAAAAAAGAGAATCACAATTCACGAGAAGCCTAACTATAAAAGCAGTAAAGCACTTTGCACTAAACCGCTCACTCAGTTCTATTACGTACAATGTCGTCATTACAATGCGACCTGTTTTATTAACCCTTTCTTAGCTGGGTGTGGTCACTCAATATCGCTCGATTCTGTAGTAGTAACTTCATTCCCCCAGAGACGCTTCTTCTTCTTTCTCTCTCTAGACAGCGAGCTATCCTAGAATCCTCTGTATTTTTCTACCTGCAAGACAGCCGCTACAGGTGAGATACATACCACACTCCTTGTTGTTCCTACTCGACACCATACTGTAGTCTGGTCCATACTATAATACTGCTCTTTTTCGTTTGATATTGGAAGTGAAAAGCTTGTACTCTCTTCCTAATGTCTTGTTCTGTTGTAATACATCAGTTGTATGTGCATTATTTTACATTTTCAACCCTCTTTGTCTTCCCTTTTCTCGCTGTATCTCGATCTAGTAGTAATGATATTGATACTGTAGCCAGTTCGTTGTACAACTGTTAGATAGAGTATTGTACTATTCTTAGTTACTACATTTCCCTACTCAACAGTTTGCCTATTAATCCTCCGTCTCTGTTCACACCAGCTTGTATTCTTGTTTTGTTGCATTAGTCTCATTTTGTCTCTATTCTATTATTCATGTACAATTTGTCCCTTTGTTTGTATCTCTCTCTCTCCCTCTCTCTCTCTCTCTCCCTCTCTCTCTCTCTCTCTCTCCTCTCTCTCTCTCCCTCTCTCTCTCTCTCTCTCTCTCTCTCCCTCTCCCTCTCTCTCTCTCTATGTAATGTTTGATACTATGACTCATGTGTACGGTATAATAGTTCTTTATGGTGTAATCAAATTTTGAGTCAAAATATAGCCTGACTAGGGTAAACACTTTTCAACTGGTCCCTCTTCTCTTAGCCAGGGCTTCCATTATTATGACTTACATCTACTCATTTTGTGTATTTGTGTGTGTACATCTCCTCTAATGAGTGTCAGTGTCAGCATAGATATACTATGGTGTCGGTATCCATTATTACATGAACATTGTTACCATAATACCATTCCATTGTGCTCTCTGTGTGTGCCAGTAAGTGTATGCGTTTATTTATGTGCAGTAGGTCCGGCTAGTGAGACTTTACATGTACATGTACATGTGTGACTTTTTACTGGTTCATCTTGCAAGGATGTGCAGCGGCTAGCTGCCAACTTCCATAAAATACACATTCACATGTAAATGCACGCATGTACATGTACATGTACATACTTTGCAATGACAGCTATGTGCATGTTTTTGTGCTCGTGTGTATGTGTATACAATCTAAGTTGTTTTTTATCTTATAAATTTGAAATTGGCACCGTCCTTATTAGCTTATAGTGAACTAACAGAACAACCTTACTCTGCTGTCGGGGAGGGATAGATTTAGGCAAGATTTAATAATAGTTATTGCATTAAGAAATAAATTAATGCACATGTGTACGTGTACATGTTCATATACATGTAGATTTTACAATGTACATGTACATTAAATTAGGCTGGTTTTGCCGGCATAATGGTAATTGAGCTTGGATATATATTAATTGAGTAGGTGATAGGAATATTTCCACAATCATAAACTATAGTGTGGGTTCATCTGTTTGTCTGAATCACTTTGCTGTATGTACAACATAGTCTATCATAACATTTGTCAAAGATAAATCAGTTTTTATTTGATTTTTAATATCATGCAATGAGAATAAACATAAAATGCACATGTACTTAATACTATGCACATGCCTTTGTTTTATTGTAAGAATTGATTTTTATTTCATGTACATGTATACTGTATACTGTAGCCTGGAATGGATGCATAATTGTAATGTGCAGCATTTGGGTGTGCACTAATTAGAAAATATATGGTGTGAGTGAATGGTAATAATGATATTAACAAGAGTACTATTAGATAATCTTTATTGCAGTTGATACAGTGATATAGTTTATACAGTGATATAGTTTATGTTCTCATTATAATAAAAGGGCATATGCACTATTGACATGCACATACTGTGTTGTGTGGTTTCTAAGAATTTGTTGTGTGTGTTTAATGTTATTATCCATGTATATTATGTGTATTTCGGCTCATTATCTTGCTTTATGCATGACTGCTATAAAAATGTAAATAAATAACTTGTTCAATTACTAACCACTCCACACCTTTCCCTCCCTCAGTATATACAATGGCGAATAAAACTGATGACGAAGACAGAGTTCGTATCGTTCAGAAATATGACATTGTAAGATTCTTTGCTCTTTTTTTAACTTTATTAACCTCTTTCATCTTTTTAACCTCTTTCATCTTTTTATGCTAAAGGGTAGGGATGATGGTGCTGTTATAGAAGACTGGGAGGACCCTGATTTATCGGTTTATAGATCAACAGACAGATATGGCTTTATGCAGTAAGTTATACATGTACTGTACATGCATCATATACATGTACATGTACATGTACATAATAATGCAATCTATGCATGTACATGTATGCCTACTATCATGTTTACATGTGTTTCATAATAATTATTACCGATATGGTGAATGGTGTGGTTCCAAAGTATGCAAATTGCTATTCCTTTGCCTTGTTTGTTAATAAAACCAGCATAGTCAAAGTGTGTAGACAACATCCTTTGTGTCCTCTGCCAAGATTTCTGCCATAACATTGTACATATTTGTCCATCCCTCCCATCTGTCATTCTATGTACATTTAGTACATTTACAAAAATACTACAGCATTATTGTTTTACATGTAACTTATCTTATTTATCCTATATACTGTACATGTACATGCACATGTATACTACAGTACCTTGTTTAAGTTTATCTTATTTATTCCCTCCTTCTTCTTTGCTCTCTCCCTCTTTCTCTCCCTTTTCAGCACGAAGCCTATAGCTACAGGTCTACCAGACAAGGTATGTAGATTATAAAAACTATTGATTGATGAAGGATTGCATGGAATTTATTGTAACATGAACATATGTGTGACATGTGATGCTACAATAACCACGTACTGCACCCTCTTCTACTGTATGGTAATCTTCTCTGCTATTCTCTTCCCTCTCCTTTTTTCTCTTCTTTTTATGTACACACTGAAGGTCGTTCAAATTGAAAGAGAGAGAGCTTACAAGTGGGGCAAGATGTTAAAGAAGTGGCACAAGTATTGGGGAACTGACAAGCTCCTCAAACGTGTCAATAAAGGGATACCTGACTCAGTGAGAGGTGAAGTATGGAAACATGTCCTTGACATAGAGGGAGTCAAAGAAGCTGGCATTTATGAGGTAAAAACTACATAAAACTAATAAGTAAAGATATGATAATACATACTGTATGTGTGTTTGAGTTAAAAATTGACAAAGACATGTACACGCAATATTGATAATATGAGAACATGTGAATTTACATGTACAGTGTACGTCATGAGTGATGTGTCTGTGTGTGTGCAATGTTTATGGTGAGTAAGTATGTACATGTAAGGCATGGAGTGTCATCTGTTACACATTTTAAGAATTTTAGTAATGTGTTTGCAGTAGGGGAGGAAGGGAGGGAGAGGGAAAGAGAATTGAAAGTACTCGAGAGTGCTTAAGATTCTTTCCTTCTTGTTAATTACATGTACATGTACATGTATTATGTGATATACATGTATATTTATTGTCCTTTCTATAATAATTGTGTGTGTATGTTAAAAAGGACAAAGAGAGGAGGGAGAAGAAGGAAGAAGCCAGGTGCTTGTCTTTTCACTTTGTGTACAGTACAGTTACAATGTGTGTGTGTGTGTCAATATCCTTGTTGCCTTAATTGTATTGTGGGTATTATACTGTGTACACATGAACATAATAAACAACTAGTTGGATAGTAAAATGTGTACAGTACATGTAAAGTTAATTAGTTCAAAGATCATTATTCATGTACGTGTAGATGTACAAGATTATGTCAAAAATGACTAGGAGAGAATTCTACATTTTTATTACATTTTCTGATACACATACATGTACATGTTCTTATGTTGTATAGAAAGTTTGAGGTGATTTCAATCAAAGTTGGATTTTTTATGAATTTTTAAAGTTGCTCCAAAATCAGGCCAAAGTCCCTGTACTAGGAGGGTCTTTGACCAAATTTTGTCAATTATAATACATGTACATGTACATGTACATGTACATGTATAATAATAATGTTCTTTATGTACATTTTGTAGTCTATGAAGCAGTTGGGTAGGAGGGAGTCCCCTGATATCAAGCAGATTGATGTTGATGTGTTAAGGACCTTTAGGAACCACGTGATGTATAGAGACAGGTATGGGATTAAGCAGCAGGCTCTCTTTCACGTACTCGTCGCATATTCTATGTATAATCCTGTAAGTTATACATTGTATGTGTGTGGGGGGGGGAATAATGTTACTCTATTCTTTATACATTGTACATGTAATTCACTCTCTTTCTCCCCCTTCTCTCTCTCATCCTCTCTCTCCCTCTCTCTCTCCTTTTCCTCAGGTGTTGGGTTACACTCAAGGCATGAGCAGTATTGCAGCAATGTTGCTAATGTATTTAAATGAAGAGGTATAATGTGCGAAATTAAAATAAATTAATCTGATGAAATTCCCTCTCTCTCTCTCACTCCCTCCTTCTTTCACTCTTTAAGGATGCTTTCTGGGCCATGGTAATACTGATAGGTAGCCCTCGGTTTGCTATGCATGGGATGCTCATCCCAGGCCTCCCTAAGCTCCTTGCCTATTGTGATCTTCATGGGAACATAAGGAGACGCTTCCTTCCTAAACTTGACCGACACTTTGTAAGTACTAACGTGTGACTAGACAAGGCATACCAAATAAGGAGTGTATTATGCATGTAGCACTTATTATGGGATGCACATGTACATGTAGCAATATTTGACTCTCTCTCTTTTTTTCTCTCTCAGATGACTCATCATATTGATCCTTCTGAATATACAACCCCTTGGTTTGTAAAATGTTACCTAGATGCTGTAAGTGTTGCGATTATACGTACATGTTCGTATGCATGTCCAAGTACATGTACAAGTATTGTTATTTTCATGTTATGATGTACGTCTTATTTTTCGATAGGTTCCATTTCAGTTGACGTTGAGAATATGGGATGCATTCTTATTTAACGGAGAATCGATATTAGTATCAGCCTCACTCGTACTACTGAGAATACACAGGAGTGAGTTCACATGACAAATCTAATAAATTACATGTATAAGCTGCACATGTACATTGTACATGTATGTGTAGTTGTGCAAATTTGAAAGTGTTACATGTACATGTACATGTACATGTATATGAAAATGAAAAAATAAAAGAATAATGATCGAAATTGCCTCAATCTTTTCTACATGTACTACATAGCATAGTAGTCCTTAACTTCTTATAAACTGCTTTCCTCTCCTCTTGTAGAAACACTGTTGAGAATGAGAGAGGACGAGATCAGAATATTCCTACAAGAGCTTGACAGGAGACCTGCCGATGAGGACACTGTCATAACCGAGTTAGACGCAGTCCACTCGGAACTAGTGAAGGCCAACCTTGCCATGCCACCAGCAACTGTCAGATTACAAGATCTTTCAAGCCTCAATCACGAGGCAAAGCAACGGGCTGCTGCTTCAGTGAGGCCACACCCACAGACACACCCACCCACATCCCATTCATCCCCCCAGCGACCTAACGGATACACTACCTATAATGGACATGTGCCAGAGTACCGTCATAGATAGGCGTGGTCATATTTAACCCTTTATAAACCAGGTTATACACGGTTGATTCAGTATTATATTCTGTCAGTGATCAAGTTGTTGTGTTAATAAAGGTTTCAGTTGTATGGAAACAACTATATTGCTGCATGTTTATTATTATTCTCATTATTATTATTATTATTATATTATATTATCATTGTATTGTTGTTATTATTATTATTATTATTCCATGTTTTTGTTTTCGTGTATTTTTAACATTATGTCTTGAAATTATTTAATTTATAATTATTTGTTTTCTTTGAGTCTTCAAAAGCTGGAAAGGTGGAGCAACTTGAGCTACACATGTAGTTTGAATTTACTCAAAGATTTGTTTGTGGCAATACGTCACTAATGGGAATGAGATGCACTTATACAATGTAGTTATATTGTGTTTTTAAAAGAGCATGACAGCTTTAAGCATCATAATACCAGTAGATATAGTTTACTTTAGAATTATGAGATAAATTTTGCAAAAGTAGCCTATTTTTGCTTAGATTTATGCTCCAGTCTTGTACAAGTATTATTTTATGACGATTTTTTATCAAAAAAAAATTGACACAAAAACAGTACACATGATTGCCATTACATCACTACTGCAGTCGTAACCATTGCACACACTACTTGCTGTACATGTGTTCACTTCACTTGACATAAATCTCATACAATCCAACCGTAACATCTTCATTATCAGTTCCCTCGTCGGCACACACCCTCAACTCAATATAGTCAGTAGTGGTAGTGTTGCCATAGTCTCTGTGAAACCATGGGGCACCAGCTGCAGGGGCACTGCAACAAGCCTCTTCATATACCCCACAACTTTGACCATCCCAGAGTGGGTCACCTGTAAAAAGGATCGGGCGATCAGCATCATTCGTAGGATTCCCTGATTCACAGTAATAATGATAGCCAACAGGTTGGAGCTTTTCGTTGCAATTGCAGCTAGCTTGAGAATCGGTCCATCCAGCTATCAGTGTCCAGACATGTTGACGAGGAGACCCACGAGTGATACTCACACCATCAACATAATAGTAATCCAAGTTATTACTATTGACTCTGGCATCAGTGGATCGGTACTGGTAGCCTGTTACTCTACCACATATCTGAGAATAACTGATACCGTTAGATGGGAACTGAACTGATACACAGCCACCAATGCTTGTTACTGGTCTACCACAAGCTCTAACTCCGCCTGACTGGTACAGTCTAAACCCAGAAGGACAGTTCACTGTAGAGTCACTCATATTCAGATATGCTAGTCTTGTCCATCCTCCCCTTGAGCCACACAACTCTCTAAGCTCTTCCATATCACAATACATATTCTGCTTTGTTCCTTCTTTGTCTATTATTTTATAAAACCCTGATGAACTCTCTGGCCAGTAATTATGAATATCTTCACATGATAAGTTAGCCGACTGACAAGAAGAAGTAACTAGACAGAATATAATAGTACAATCATTTATGTTGAACAGTTGATTTAATAATAATTAGCATGGTTACCTGCAGATTTGATGAAACTCAGAATAATAAAAAAGAGAGTTGCTTTAAACATTTTGAAATCAAAGTAGCCACCTCCGTGTAGAAAAATTCAAGAAATGCATGCCAACATCATGCTTGGGTGGCTCATGAAAATTGATATCCAATCAATGCATTGCTCTATTATATCACAATCAATCAATAAGTTTTACATAATGCACAAACACACGTCAAATGAGAAATTAAAAAGAACAATAACAATAATAATTATAATAATAATTATAATGCTAATATTGATAATAATTGATAGGGAAAGATGGCGTGCATGAATATGTCCACTGGTTGAGTGTTTCATTGAGTTCCTCCTTTAGCTTTTGCTAATTCTTCAAGGAGCTCTTGCTTCTCTCTTTCGAATTTCTTGCGTTCTTCCTCGAATTTCAATCTTTCCCTTTCCCACTTGAATCTAAAGGAAAGAGAACAGTATAAACTAGCTAAAATACCGTATAGCGGGTTTATTTCGAGGATAATAATTTTCATGAATCGCCTGTATCCGGAGGTTCATGGAATTAATTTTCACGAATTGCCATCTTGTACCGTATTAAACTGATTTTCAAGGGATTTAATTTTGCGAATCTTCAAAAAAAAAAACTGCGAAATTTGTTATCCTCAAATTAAACCTGCTATATGGTATATTTCAAAATTTTTATTTCCTGTTTTTGTTTACACCCCAACTTGTGTAAATTGAGGTGCAATAACATAAATTACAAGGGGAAATACTATAATTGATGTTATATAAATAAAGCAGCTCCAAATTAAAGAGCTGAATTAGCATACGCATGCACCATTTTAATATCTTAATATTACTTTTCTTCGGAGGCTAATTGCTTCTCCGCTTCCACTTCTCTCAGTGTTTCAGCTAATACCACTTTATCCTCTGAACTCAAAATGGCTTCCTTCTTTGTTTGAAAGAGGTCCTTAGCTTGTCTAGTTGCTTTAGTTGCTTCTTCTTCTTCTCCTAAGGTGCTTAGCTCCTGCGCTCTCCGATAAAACATTTCTATCCCTACATGATAATAAAAGAATTTTAATTGTAGTATAGTAATTTTTACGTAGACATTATTTTGTGTCATTACAACTCTCTACTAATGAGACTATACAAAGGACACATTCCACAAGCTATACAAATAATGCACTTTCATCCATAAATGCAATGAGTAAAAGCCATACACAGAGATAAGACACTTCTAAGAATACAGAATGAAATAATGCTTTCCACTCACCAGTATCAGTTGAACCGACAGTGGCTGCATGGACTCTCTTCCCTTTACTAGCACTTGGAGGAGTGTTAGATATACTACTAACTTGTACTGTAGGATTGGCAGGCTCAGAATCTTTCAGTTTATAGATAGAGTGAGGGAGAGAGAGAGAGAGAGAGAGAGAGAGAGAGAGAGAATATTATAATTATATAATTTCAATTTGTTAATTTTATTATATTTACGTATATGGATCGTGTTTTTGTTTGTGATGCGTAGGATAAATGGGCGAAAGTACATAATAAAAAAGAGGATATTGAGACCTCAAGCTAGACAGAAAGATTGCCCACACAAGACTATGTACACAAGTATATCATTATAAACAACATTAATAAACTTTATCTAAAAATCAACTAACAACAATAACATAAAATTGTACACGGACAACAACACCAACATTACGTATTACACATGTACATGTACTGTACGTGTATGCTTTGTGTATTTAAGAAACATAGACACAGTTTACACAACCAAAAGTTACATAAATAGAAAGGACTTGCACTTTTGCTATACTTTTGTACTAGAGTAGTAATTAATGATGTAAATCAAATGCGTAGGCGGGTACAAGAACAGAATTTTATATATATATCTCTTAGTGCAAATAGCTTACCTGTATCGTTATTCATTCCATTTTCCTTTTCCTTGTTATTTTCTGGTCCTTTTACTTCTACTATTTCTTTTTCTGCCTCTTCCTCCTCTTTCTGTCTGCCTTCCTCCTTATCTTCTCTTTTGATCTCTACCTCCACCTCTCTCTGAATCTCTTCTCTCTGAGTCCCTCCCTCCTCTTCTTCTCTTTTCCCTTTCTCTCCTTCTCTCAGTACATCACTCCCTGATGATGAGTGAAGGACTCCTTCAATATCATCATACAGTTCCTCGCCATATTCCTCAGCTTCAATATCACCAGTAGCAGTAACACCATTAGTAGCAGTAACACCATTAGTAGCACTGGCCGAGTGGTGAGTATTAGGATCAATCGTAGTACGTGGTAGAGGCTTAGGGGGTCTGGAAGGTGAGGGCAATGGAGAAGGGACTGATATTCTAAGAGGAGCTGCATTACTAATACTACTATTGCCATAGTAGTCTTCACTATCGGGAAGCTCATCATCAGTATTTTTATTGCTAGTGTCAGTTTGTTTAGGAGGCAGGCTTGGAGCATTGTCATACATTTCTTCACCAGCTCTGGGAGGAAGAGGAGGAGGAGGAGAGGCTGACTGTGCTATGTTACTGGGAGGAAGTGGGACCCGCTCATCATCATCATCATCGCTTGACTCTGCCTCCTTTAGACCAGTCTCTCTATCCACATCCTCATACATGACTCCAGTGTCCTTGTTCCCAATGTTCATCTCATCCACAGAATCATACAGCTGCTCATTGCACTGCTGGGAAGTGGCCGGGGGGATGCTAATTTTTGCTTTTGACGGAGTGGGGGGACCTTTATCCAGAGGTACGTCAGCTACCGGTTCATATAATTCTTGCGTTTCTGTCACTTCTTCTTTCTTGGTTGATTCTGGAGCCCCGCCCTCATCTTCCCCAGCATTAATGCGACCAACCAAATCGTAGAGAGACTCGTTGAGGCACACGCTATCTTTCAGGTTTCGATTCTCACCGACGGAATTAAGAGAGATGGTTCGGTTACCAATATTACGAGGAGGAAGGAGAGAGCTAGTGGAAGTAGTATTTGCTTTGCCACTATCTTCTTGAATGTTTGCTTGAGTTACAAGATCATAGAGTGGCTCAGCCGAAGGCGGAGGACTAGTTGGTGATGTTATGCTAGTATCAACACAAGAATTGCTAAACTCGTTTGGGTCCAACTGTCCATCAGCTCCGGTGTCAGAATCTACAGCACTTCCTTCATCGCTGTCGGTTACCATCGCAGAATTGAAGCGCTTGGTTGGAAGCCTCCTATCTTTCTTTCTGTATTGTTTTGGGGTTCGGTTTGTTGGTTCTACCACTGAGGGCATCTCGAGGCTAGAGGCTTTGCCACCCATTTTATTATACCTACCAGGGAGGGACTGGGGAGCTAAAGGAGAAAGAGAGAGAGAGAGAGAGAAGGGAAGGGATAGCAAGAGTTAGCTCATGCATTAATGGATGCATTGATGCATGCAGTGTGTACATAAAATATGAAAATAATGTATTGTAACAAAAATTATTATTAATAATACGTCCATTGCAATAACTTTATAAAAGTAACTATAAATATGTATAAAAAACACACACCAGTACACAAAACCCACCCTCTCCAATGAATGCACGCTTACTACTTTTCTCGATACTCTTTCTTTGTTCCTCTATCACTCTTATCCACTCCTCTGTCTCGCTCAGGCTATCAGTGTACATATAATAGACTCTGCCACTGGTTGTTATGACCATTGTGTTCTCCAGTGAGCAGGTCTTGGGCCAGCCAGTATAACTCCCGTCTTGTCCTCTCTCAATACTGAAGGAGGGGTCAGTGATAGATATGGAGCCTAGTGGTGCTTTAGAGGGGTCCTTAAAGTATTGTAGAGTATAGTCGGACTTTAGTATAAGCCAACGCTTGTGCCAGGTCTTGACTCTCCCTCCTACCTTGTGAATGACCCCAGAATGGATCTCTTTTATCTTTAAAGCAGTGAAACTGCTCGCCATGTTGGTTGTGATAGTCTCTCCAGACAAATTATGGCCTCGGTTATGGGGAGACTTCTCCTCCTTTGCTGTTTTTGCAATGGAAGGTTGTGGGTGTGGCTAGATTTTGCAAAGGGGGAGTGGTAGAAAAATGTCTTCCATGTAAGAGCTTGTTCTTTCTCTCTCTATTTTTTAATTCCTGGTCCCCTTTTATAATTATAATTATTAGTATAATAATTATTGCTATAATAATGATAATTATTTGTTTTATTATATTTGTTTGTTGTTTATTTATTTTTTTTAGAAAATGCTAAAAATTATTGTCCTCTTAATTATTGACCTGATAATTGCCATCCTCCTCGTCTGCTTTGCCCCTTTACCAGCAGACGAAGGAGAAGGAAAGACAGCCTACAGAGGTGTAGTCGGTGATGGGGGAGTGGTCGATTGTGATGCTTTACTTCCATCAGCTGCTTCTTGTTCAGTCTCCTTCTCATCAAAAACTCGCTATTCTTTTACTCCATTCATCAATGAGGATCGTATGTCATTGAATGGTTGTACAGCTAGTAAGGTGGGTGGTGTTTTTGGTTGTGGGGAGTATGATATTTGGTTTGTAATATTTACTGTTTGTGTGGCTTTTATCTGACCAACTTTCTCATTCTTTAAAATTAACCCTTCCTCTCTCATAGTTGTACATTATTTTTCGTCATGGGACCAGATATCCCGGAAAGAACCACATTAGACGCTTTGACAGTATTTCTGAAAAACTTTCCAACTTGAGTCGATCTTCGGGCGTAGTTAATAAATTAAGAGGCTGGATAAACCCATTTCTAATTGAAGAGCACTCTCACCTCTCCTCCATTGGAAGGAAGGAGCTCTACTGTCTTGCAAAAAGATTCAAACAAAGGTATATGATTAAAAATGATTTTTAGGATTTAGTTTTATAATTATTTCTTTTTATTAAACGAGGATGTTTCTCCTTTAATTTTAGATGTAATTTTTAATCAATTTTTTTACTGAGAGTACATACATGTATGTATGACATAATTATGTATACATGTAATTGCCATAGAAATTGATAATCATGTACAGTAAACGCTCTATTATGTGTCTCAGAGGTGCACGCTCCTCTTACCATCATCCCTGTCGCTCCTTCCGTTCTCATGAGCAAGCTCTCTCAGATGGGAGGGTTTATTAAACTACATGTACATACATTGTACATTCTACATGTATATACTATATCTTCTGTATAATATTTAAACTTTTATCTCAGACACACATAAGTACATGTATATTCTGTATTTTATTATATTATGATATATTATGTTATGATATATTATGATATTACAGTAAACACATGTACATGTATTATTAGTAAATAGTAGTACATGTACATGTATATTGTGTATGTGGTTATTGTGGTGGCTGTAGGCATTATGTACATGTACATGTAATTTGATATTTTAATTTTGGTTTGAGGTTTCTGACCTTTAGGATGTAAATTTAAAGCACAGAGACCTTTTCCAATGCTTTAATGAGGTTAATGGTAATAACATTAAGTACATGTACATGTAAATTCACATGTACATGTACATGTAGATGTACATGTACATGTAGATGTATATGTACATGTACTTGCATGTAATTTCCTGCCAGTACTTTAGGCTCCTGAGTGAGGTTGTCTTTAAAGTTTATCTAGATCCAAAGGTCACTGGTTTCCTTTTAAAACTCCATTCACTCACTCACTGACTGTCTGTATGTGTAATTTCAGTGTATGTAATTTGTTATTACTTGTATTTCACATGTGAATATACATGTGGTCCATGTTCAGTCGTAATACATGCATCCTGTTTAAATGATGCAGAACGACACTTTTATATGTATATGTATATTTTAAAAGAGAACATCATGTATTTTAATAATTATTAATTTAATTATTAATTATTGTCCTTCAAGCTACGGTACATGTATTATGAGTAGGGATTTCCCCCTTGGTTCACATTGCTATGGAAACTGTTGCTCTATGTGCCAACTAGTTGTGACTATCTGGTCTTTGACTAATGTTATGATATAATGTGTTTTATTATTTCATTTTGATCTCATGATGTACCTCTAGCCAATGTGTCTCTTTGCTGCTTGCAGACTTTTAGTCTTGCCAATATTTAAATGACCTTTGAATGTGTGCATGATAGAGTTTACTTATGTGTCTTATTATGCCTTCTTATCAATGTCTGTCACCACAGTATGATAGTTATACTCATGTATGTGGTATATGCATTGAAGAAACTTCTGATAGTCGATTTCAAGTTTGAAATGGATCATGTCAATCTTACAAACTTTTATGCCATTTTCTGATACATATTGATGTACTTATGCTATGTGGAAAGTTCGAGCGGATTCCGACTTAAACTTTTTGAGTTATGACCATTTTAAAGAATGGGCCAATTTCTGAAAAAATCTCTGTACTATAGCCCATGGTTTTTTCTAAAAAATAGCTCCGAAATCACCCCCCAATTTTTATTACATTTTCTGATACATATTGATGTACTTATGCTGTGTAGAAAGTTTGAGTGGATTCCGACTTAAATTTTTAAAGTTATGATCATTTTTAAAAATGGACCAATTTCTGAAAAAATCCCTGTACTATAGCCCATGGTTTTTTCTGAAAAATGGCTTCGAAATCACCCCAAATTTTTATTACATTTTTTGATACATATTGATGTACTTATGCTATGTAGAAAGTTTGAGCGGATTCCGACTTAAACTTTTTGAGTTATGACCATTAAAAAAAATGGACCAATTTCTGAAAAAATCCCTGTACTATAGCCCATGGTTTTTTCTGAAAAATGGCTTCGAAATCACCCCAAATTTTTATTACATTTTTTGATACATATTGATGTACTTATGCTATGTAGAAAGTTTGAGTGGATTCTGACTTAGATTTTTAAAGTTATGATCATTTTTTAAAATGGGCCAATTTCTGAAAAAATCCCTGTACTATAGCCCATGGTTTTTTCTAAAAAATGGCTCTGAAATCACCCCCAATTTTTATTACATTTTCTGATACATATTAATATACTTATGCTATGTAGAAAGTTTAAGCGAATTCCGACTTAAACTTTTTGAGTTATGACTATTTTAATTAAAAATGGGCCAATTTCTGAGACCTGTACTATTATAGCCCATGGTTTTTCCAAAAAATGACTCCCAAAATCACCCCAACTCTTATCATAGTTTCTAAATTCCAAAATAAAAAGTGCATGTAGCATTGTGTCATTTGTGTATGACCCTGTCTCTTATCTACTACATGTACATGTACATGCAAGTCTAGTCTAAAGACATGTTGTTGTGAGTGTGTCTACCTGTCTATATCTCCAATTATGCTAGCCACAAGACCTACCATATAGCTAGAAATATTAGAGAGGAATTAATATTGGTGGATTAATAGTGTGCTAAGCAACCACCAATATAAAATCTGAACATGCTCATTGAGACATGGCTATACTAATCTTCCATATAAAAACAAATCGCCAAATACATGTATATATATATATGTACATGTGTAACTCAATCAATATCTCCAACATGTACATGCATGTACATGTACATGTACTGTAGTACTTATATATTCAATGTGTACATGTATACATTGTTTCCATTATTGTTTAGATTATTTTTTTCGGGAAACTTACATTGTTTGTTTATCTATTAATTAACGCAACCACGGACGTTAAATACATGTAGGATCTGCTTTCTGTTTGGCATTATTTAGAAAAAGTATTTTTTGAGCTTTAATTTTAGAGAGAAATGATACTTGATGATTTCAACATGTTCATGTACTATATATACGTGCTAATATGATCTAATCTAGTTGTACTTGATTGGAATTTGTTATTTACTAGTTTTTGTAGGATTTGATAAGAAATAGACACATCATCCTTATTGTCAAAATAATTATTTATTTGTTTTGAATTACACGCGTGCACCCAACTGGCTATCACTTAATAATAATAATAATAATAATAATAATAATAATAATAATAATAATAATAATAATAATAATAACCTTTCTTCCTTCTACTGTTGATGTGTGGCTTAATGCTACCAAGAGTACATGTACTGTACTCTTGATGCTACTTATGATTGTTAATCATATTTAAAATTAATTCAATAATAGTTATTTGTACTTTATTTGATAGGTATTCTGGTCTCTTTGATGAGGTCTATTCTCCTGATAGTTTTAGTTTTGCAAGCACACACAAGAAGAGATGTGTTAAAAGGTTAATTTGCCTGTCTTTTTACTGTTGATTTAAATGTACTTCTATGTACATGACTTTTATAATGATATTACATGTGTCATTATTTATTGTATAGTGCTCTCTCTTTTGCTGAAGGATTGTTTGATGGACTTGATTTATCAAATGGAGGAGAAGTAAGAGGAGGGAGAGAGAGAGGGGGGAGGGAGAGAGGGAGAGAGAGAGAGGAGGAGAGAGAGAAAGAGAGAGAGGGAAGGGGAGAGAGAGGAAGAGAGAGAGAGAGGGGGAGAGAGAGAGAGAGGGAGGAGAGAGAGGGAGAGAGAGGGAGAGAGAGGGAGAGAGAGGGGGAGGGAGGGAGAGGAGGGATGAAAAGAGGATTAATTGTCATTTGATCCTATACAGTTAATGAATACTGCCCTTACTATCTATGCACAGTCCATAGGTCTACAAATTGATGACAGATCATTACGATTCTTTGATAACTGCAAAGAGTATACAAACAAATCAAAGAGAAATGAAGTAAGACAATCCAATCCAATCATCAAATCGCTAGCTTCCTTGATATGACATCATATGAGATCACGTTGCATCATCAAGGGATTATACTAAACTAACAACTGATAATGATGATAATGACGACTGCTCTTCATTTGATGTAGTATTATATTAGTAACATGATACCACTGTGTGTGTGTACCTACCTCTACAAGGGCCACTTGCATTTATTAGCTATAATCTACACCTCTACATTTGTATACATGTACATGTATTATACTTATCAAATGTATCATTTCCTTATGTCTGATAACAGGGATGGATGTGCATGCCTCCCTTTGATTTCCTATCTGTCTTTCATGTGTTTTTCCTCTGTATTTCTATGTGCCCTATATAGAGATGCACATTGTATTTGTTTACTTGTCTGATGTTGTAAGGATGTGAATACCTCTTTGATAAGGACAACATCCTATTCTGTATAATGGAACTGAATTATTCTTATTTTATGTTAAAGCATCAGAGCAGCATACACAAACCTGCCTTAATCTCATAGTCTCAATGGTTGTTTTCTGCGAATTGTATTTATCTTAATTATTTCATGATTATGTCTAGCTTAATACTAAATTAGAAGTTTTTCTAAGAAAGGTTGCATACGTAGTGTGACCTCTAGGCTTTGCTATGGCTATCCGACTATAACCTGGAAGGTTTCATCTTTTATTAATGTCATTATTGTCAGTAGATAATTAGGTTATCAGACATGATCAGAAGATGAGCATTAATTATCATTTTTATTTATAGTCACTGGAAGCTGTTCTCAATGAGTTCTTGTTTAGTGATGCAATTTCCAAAGCTTTAAGAGAAATTCAGCAGCAAATTGATGAAAGTAAGTACATGTACATGTATATCAGATCATTATATTGATTTATTAAATGTGTGGGTGGAGTGGATAGGAAAAGGTTTTATTAATGAGTGTTGCTATGTATTTAGTTTACTTTATAGCTTAATTTCATCCTTTTCTTTAGGTAAAAGGTTTTGGATTATCAATGAGCACGAGCTACTAGACATGTATCAGATATGTGCGATGGAGACTGCTAACTTTGGGCATAGCAAGTGAGTATTGGTTACTATCATGCCTTCATTTTTATCACTAAAGGATATAATCACCATTATCACCATTGAGTTTTAGGTCTTCTACTATTAAGTGGGCAATTAGGCATGTTTGTGATGATGGAGCGAGTGTGATTTTGTACACATGTTTGTGTGTGTGTGTGTGTGTATGTGCGCATGATGCATCACGTAATTGGCTATTAGTCATTGTATTGTAATCTTTGTTCTCTTTGTGTTTGTTTTTGTGTACTTGTTTTGTTGGTACTCTCCCTGACTCTCTGTTTGCCCTCTTTAGACTTCCTTCTCTAATCATTATTTTATTTTTATATGCTAACTATATGATCTCTCACTTTCTCTCCCTCCCTCTCCCTCCCTCCCTCTCCCTCCCTCCCTCCAGTTGGTGCTCATTATTTTCCTACTCCTCCCTTCAAGCGTTAGAGTATTACTATGACATGAAGTCATACTGGACCAAAGGTATACAGCTAGTAACTCCAGTCTACCATATAATAATAATAAGGACATAGACTAAGTTTGTTTACATTGTACAGACAAAAAGATATAGAGTCGATAATTAGTAAACCTTTCATGTGTTGTTAACATCCTATAATTTATAATTGTCTGTACTTTGAGTGTCTACTCACTCAAGGAAGCTGCCCAGATGGCATTCAGTTTTGAGACTGATCCATTGGCGTTGGTAGTGATTTAATTCCTAGTGTTAATTTATAAAGTACTACTAATGTACAGTACATCTTGTACTATAGTAATGGTATATACAACATTTTGTCTCTTGTTAGCAGTTAAAAGGAGGTTTGCGTAAACTTGGTGGTATTATGTATGAAATTGAATTTAGATTTATGTCTCATGTATGTCTGTGTTTTGTACACATACATGTACATGTACATGTGTATTAATTATTATGTTGAAGGCCCATTCATTCATACATTTGTATCGTGGTAGCTACTAGTATGTTGAAACCTATGCCATGAACTATAGTCTTAATGCCAAATAGAGTAATTATGAATTGTGGTACTTGATTACTTCATAGTGTTCATAGTATGCTATCATGTCATTTCACAATGTTCTAATTGCGGGTTTCACTTTTACTGCCTCAGGCATATTCCTCTTTGTTTTCAAACAATGAACTCTGATCCTTTTATGTTTTGTGTGCGTGCGTGGATGTATTTACTATCTATTGCTATCCATCCATCATGTTCTCCCTCAGTTTAGTCTATATAAATACAACATACCTAAGTAATGTGATATTTCATTCCACATTACATGCATATACTTAAATGAGCTTCTCTTAGTATTGTTGTATTGTTTTTAACGCGTAGAGAGTGTAATGAGATATGTAGGCGGATTGCAGTTTATATTTCACTTCCAATGAAATGATCAAATCTTTTAATACCTTACCTGTATATACTCATTATTATAGCATGAGTGTGATATATATATATGGATGACACTGTGTATATTTGGTGAGTCAACACCAGCTGTACCTTTACATAGTAAAGGAAGAGATTTGAAGGATAACAGTAGTGGCATCCTGTGTCTGTAGACTGCCCCTACTCCATTTGACACATGATATCACTTGAGCCTTTCTATACAGTAAGGATTCTACTAGTACAATGTATGTCTCGTGTTTTGGCTATCATACTGTTATGACTGTTGTAATTGGTATAAGACTTTAAGTATATATTCCCCCAGGCCTGTATTTGTTGAGTTTTCTTATGCGTTTTTGGTTTTTCGATCAGCTTTAGTGCCATAGAAGGAAGAGTGTCGATTTTGTTTCAGTTACTTTAATAAATTAATTAGTTATCGAATGTTTATGAATGCAAAAGTCATCAGGCCAGTATCATTCATAGTAAAATGTTTTATTTGAAGTTTGTGGGTACATTCGACTTTGAAACAGAATGGGCTCTCTGATAAGAATTATAGTCATGTTTACTTTTTATTTATCATCATACAATCGATAGATTAATGTCATTTTCACTATTTCTTTCCTTTTTCTGTATTAGGCCATGGTCATACAATAAACTGGTCTATTTCGTGTCACTTGATAAACGATATCATTAATTCGCTCTCTCCCTCTAACCCAGCAAAAGTGACATTAAGGTAAGAGAAGGAGTGAGAGAGAAAGCAACTTATATATAAAATAGGTTTGCTCATGCAGAAACACTTGTTCCCCTTCTCTCTGCCCTCTCCCTTTATAAAGATGACCTTCATCTGTTACCAAGCAATTACCATGGTGAGAAAGTGACACTTTAGTAGCATAGCTTTGTATCTTCATGTGAGGATTAGTGGCAGGAAAGAGAAGGAGAGAAAGCAAGGAAGGAAGATGGAGTTTAGTTCCATTATCACTCTTTTCATTACTATCAGTCCTAATTTGGTGTTAACAGAAAAAATTAAAATTAAAATTAGCTCCTCGCAGTATAGCCTTAAGCAAACTGTACAATAAATGTACTAACTGCCCTCTATCTTGTAGTAGGCATAGTAGTAGTAAACTGTCCCTTTGATGGGGCCTTTGTCAATGTTATTCTTCCCACAGTCTCATGGTAAGCGTAAGGAGCATTATGACTCTGTTGTGCGTGTATAGTAAAATGTTGAGGCTTTCATTTGCAGGCTGATGGTGGGTAGTGTGTATACTTATTCCCAGGAAGTTAGCTTTGATTGTGTTATTAGGATTTCTTTGATGGGCATTTGACTGTATGGAGGTGGTAATACAGTCGATTGTATGGTAATACAGTCCATTGTATGGAGAGACAATGAGCTACTGTCAACTGAGGTGTGACATAATGGTGGCCAGTTGTTTGAATTGTTTGAATGGAGACTGAAGTCTATCAGTGAATAGCTTTTGAATAGGAGGGACTTGTTGTGTTATTGAGAAAGGAAGGGGAAGGGAGAAAGGAAGAGAGGGAGGGAATGATGGAGGATGATATAGTAGAGGGAGAACAGCAGAAAGGAAAGAGAGATGTTGTGACATGTTAAGGAAATATTTCATTACACCATTAGAAATAAAAATTAAATATTAGCAGGAGAGTGTGTATCGTATTGCACGACTTTAACAGGGAGCATCCTTTTAACAGTATCTTGTGGTGAATAATATGATAGTCCCTATCAATTTCATAACACTATAGTTCAGGGTCATATCACATATGTTGCACTCATGTCTGTCACTGTATTTTGTGTTTAGGATACAATTCATAACTCGTATGTAATCTATGTCTACCCTCATAGACTAAAGTTATAATGGGATGTGGGTCCCCTCATTATTGTTATTGGATTAATCTGGTTTGTTTGTTTGATGCGATTAAGTGCAGCCTTGTGGGCTCATTGTGGCTTTATTCTTTGATACTGTCTGCATTGTGTTTTGTGGTTCTTTTGTTGGTGATGTCTTACATTGAATTAGTCCCCCCCCTACTCTTTATTTTAGTCATGTCATCTGAAAGAAAGTTTAGAGTGAGTAAAATGGCCCCTTTTTCCGGCAACTTGGCATTTGTCGTTTACAGATGCACTAAAGAAAGTGAGTGGGGAGAAGGAGAGGGAATGGAAAGTGAAGTTTTAAAAGTGATTTTTGTTTCAGATGATCATGAGGACTTTGTACACGTTCTTTCTAATGAAGCCCCCGTTACATTGGATCATTCTCTATGCACGGGAGAAGGGAATGGAGGGAATGGTGGATGGTGCCCACTTCAAAGTTTACCAGAAATTGTTAGACATGTATCGGACAAACTCATCACTTATCCATGTTCTTTAAAAGATATATGTATACAGGCTTAGATCTTTAGAATCTTGTAAAGTTTGTATAGTCTTTATCATTATCATGGCAACACAGACACTGTATGTAATTTGGGATTTAATTTTTCGTTGGTGATATTTCTGAGCATGCGCAGTTGTTCCGGTCGCGGTTGTCGGTTGCGGAGGTAACACAACAATATAAAAGCGTCCTTGCTTTCTGCAGTGGCAATACTGTCACTGTTCTTTCAAATCACTATCTGTTGTTATTCCTTCGTTGGCTTCTTTGAGCCTTGTTCTATCTCTAGCCAAGATGCCTCTTAGCAAACCTCTCAGGAGCGTTTTAGTGACGCTGCCAAACTCTGTCGTGCATAATTTCAACCTACCTGAATCTGCCACGGGAATGGACTGCTTGGAAATGGTATGCCAAAGATCCAGATACCTTGTTTTAGTCTGCTTATATTTGCTTAGATATGTTCACAGCTCGGGGTAGTCGAGGTTGACTATTTTGGCCTCAGATACATTGATCACCATGGTATCTATCTCTGGGTGAATCTCCGCATGAATCTAGCAGTACAGATCAAGACTGCTTCTCCTGCCCAACTCTACCTCAAAGTGAAATATTTTGTCGATCCACAGACACTCCAGCAGCCTAGCACTAAGTAAGGGTTTGTATAAACTACCATTATTATTATTATGTTAATGCTTTGATGTGTGGTACTACTGTATCAGCTTTGTGTTTTTTAAGTGTTACTCTATACGATTATTGTATTTCAACATAAGCTTCAAAGCAACTGAGGGTGTGAGTGGACATAGAGTCTAATGCATAGTAGTACAATGGATGGAGACAAGTTTAATATTTTTTGAATTATTTTAAAACTGTGTGGAAGCCATTGTTTGCCTTGGTTAGAGTTCATTGTATATTGAAATGGGTTTATCCTTTTATTGCCAAAAATAACTGTTTTGTCTGCACTCTCTCCAGTGTATACACAGGCTGCATTGTGGGTATGTATTCATTATTGTGGTGTGTGTATATATATATATGTATACTGTACTTGTGGTCACACCCTTCCTTTCATCTTTTTATCTTTGCCAATCTTCCTATCATTGATCTATTGTTCTGTTGTGTCTCTCTCTCCAGGCATTTGTTTTACTTGCAAATCAAGTCTTTAATGGCTAAAGGCCAGCTCCCTATTCCGGTTAAAGAAGCACCAAAATTTGGAGCTTTGATAGCTCAGTCCGACTTTGGAAACAGCTCAAGCCTCAGCAATAAGTTATGCTACCCGCAATACTTTAAAGATTGGGCACCTGGCATTGCCAGAGGGATAGCCAAGGAGCACTCAAAACTAAATGGTAAGCAACCTTGTACACAAGATACTAATATTATGAGAAGCATGTGTGTAATAATTATGTATTGTATTAATGTTATTCAGAAACTACATAAGCTAGAATGAAGAGTAGATCATACTATACATGTACAAGTTATAGTCTCCAAATGATAGAAATATCAGATTTCTTTGGGGTAGCATTATAACATTAGTGGTTACATGTGATTTTGATGTAGAACACATGTTCTAGGCAGACAGGTGGCACAGGATACCAATCCATACCACCTGTTGAAGACTTTGAGACATAATAATGATGTCAATCATACATGTACATGTACATGTAATGACCTCTTGGATTAATGACTGCAGTTCATGTACATTCACATAGCATTTCCTTACTTACTCCCCCTGCCATTAAAAAGGGATTATTTACCTAATTGCTCTTTACATGCTAATGACTTATTAGTAGTTTTATTGATGTTTCCTTTGATGAGGATTGGAAGCTACATGTAGTCTGCTTCCTTCCCTCTCTCTCCTTTATTGCATTACATGAATGGATAATTCGTCTCTTGATGATAAGAATATGTACATGGTATATTTAAGGTTTCTGGCCATTAGCCACACTGTCAGTCTACAGTGCATGTATGTCAGTGAGTCTTTGTATGGTTGTATGGGTAGCCTAATTTGTTAACCACATTCTCAGATGTGGATTTTGTTACATGTGTCAATAGCCCTTAGTTTCATTGAAACATCATCATCATTGCATCACAAACCAACAGTGCAATACTGTGACATCACAAAGAGGTAGTTGTGGGTTTATTTTTCATCTGATATAGTCAACTGTGTATTACCACATCCCATACACACCTGGTCACTTTCTCTTTCCCTCTCTTAGGAATTGAAACAACTGATGCAGAGAACTTGTTCCTTACTAAAGCTTTCAAGCTGGAGAACTGGGGAGTCACTTATGTCAAAGCTACAAACACTGAAGACAACTCCTCGTGCTATGTTGGGATTGGAGGCCTCCACATTAGAATATGCAATACACAGTGGAGACTCGTAAAGAAGTAAGGCAGATTATAATAATGCTTGTTTTTAATAATGTACTCCTTTTGAGCCTATAATGATGGATTTTATTTTTATTTTAGGATCAGTTATGATTATCTCCAAGAGGCTTCTTTCCGTAACAAGATCTTCACCATCTCTTATCGCTCGGTTGGCCATCAAGGAGAGCACATTGACAAGCAGCTATTCTTTCGTTGCCCTCACCACCGAATCGCTCGCTACCTCTTCCGTCTCCTCACCGAGGACCACACCTTCTTTTGTCACGAGACGGTGAGCGAGAGAGTTCTTGATCATGTTAGGATCCGCCCGTGGCAGCAAGTCTGTAAGAAATACTTTGGTCGCACGTACCATCGTATTTATCATTTCGATGTCGTTCGTACGCAGCACGAGGCTTATTCTCATGCCTGGGAGAGACTCCATCAGGTCAACCAGGAGTCGCTGAACAGCAGACTGGCCACAGTGAGCAGTGCTGCCGCTCCTAGTAATGGAGCTGCTGGGTCTAATGATACCGGGAGTAGCAGTCAGAGCAGTGAGAGAGGAGAGAATTTAACCAGCTTCACTGACAATGAAAGCAATAGAGATTGCATTGACACGTAAGTTCCTCCCCTTCTTAGTTTCTTTATTGCATTTCTTCCCTTCTTTGTCTTCTTATAATGTACATCTTACTCCTCATTTTCTCTTATGTGAAAAATTATGTAAAATTAATGATAAGATAGTCACATGTGTGTAAATAGTCTTTTATGTGAACAGACTTTCTCTCATGTGAATCTTATGTGTGAATATTGTATAGATTGTATTTTTATTATTTCCTTATCTTCTTTATAGTAATGTCCTCCTTCCTGAGTCACCATCAGAGTTCTCTCGTGTCAATCTCATTCAGTTTGGTCTCTCCAAGAGTAGCTGTGACATTGCCAAAGAGCTCCTTGAGACACCAGAGGACCCCAACACGTCTAGCCTCATCGACTCCGAGCTCCAGACAACAAGTAAACAAGACCCAAGCAAAGATGAGAGCGAGACCACCCCTCCCCCGCCTCAGACAGAGAGGAGAGGCTCGGTCTGTCTCACTAAAGAAGGAACAATCAAACTCGGACAGTTTATACAAAAAATTGTCGACTCCAAGTTATGCCGCGTGTGCATGGATAGTCCTGTGTCGGCTGTCTTCTGCCCGTGTGGTCACCTGATCTCTTGTTATAAGTGTGCACTGGAGTGTACCCAGTGTCCTCTCTGTCGCTCCACCATCGCTTATGTACAATATGTATACGGGTCAGGACTATAGGACTGAGTATCAGTAGTGAAGGCTATTATTATTATTATTATTATTTTATCATCCATTATCACTAAAATGACAATAATAAATGTTGCTTTAGTGTTTGTATTATCATTATTATTATTATTATTACTGTCACTACTCATCACTTTCCATTGTAACAATAATAATGAAAAAATAATAATTATGCCCATCGTTGCATGTAAGCACTTTTACTGCGCATAATTTTACATTATGAATTCATTGATGGCAGATGGTTCTAAACGGGTACTGCTATTGATGCTTTCAAATGATTGATTTGCATTGCCATGCTTTCTTGCTAATGGAAGTCTCACATTGTTAGTGTCACTATTCAATCCATTGTGTAGGCCATCAAGTATACACTCAGTCCTTTTCACGTCTACAACATGTGAACAAAAACTTTTAGAGATTTAATGTCACTTGACTGGTCTGACTACTGCTACTAGAGAGAGAAGAAGGCTTAGAGTTATGAAGCTCCTGTTGGTGCTTCTTTGTGCATTCCTGGCAGTGTCAAGTGCAGCAAAGAAGTCTAGCAATGTGAAGGGAAATAGACAGCCAAACATTATTTTATTTTTAGTCGATGATGTGAGCCTATGATGACATTTCATTGAAAGTGAAAGATGTGTTTTTCTTTTCTCTGATATAGATGGGATATGGTGATTTACAGGATTATGGCAATCCTACCACCTATACTCCATACATTCACAGGATGGTAAAGAATGGACTCATGTTCACTAACATGTACAGCCCAAGCCCAGTCTGCTGCCCATCAAGGTCAAGATTAGAAGGATGATAAAAATAATTATTATTATTATACTGTTATTGTTATTATTAGGGCTGCAATATTGACTGGTAGGCATCAGATAAGATCAGGGATATATCCCCATGGAGTTGACCCTAGTTCCTTAGGAGGTACAAACAGAAAATAAAATTATTATAATATAAAATCATTTTCTTGATATAATTGATGCTTGTTGTACATGTTCCAGGCTTCTGTGTTCCTTCCTTGCATGATTGAGGATTACTTGGTTTCCTAAATTTCCCTTCTCTCTATGACAGAGTGGACCTGGTTTTATGATGAATTGGAAGTTTATGATTGAAGCGTTCCCATTACTGCTTCCAACAGGTGGCTTCTATTAATGACACAGAAGCCTGACCGAATGGGCAATCATTCAATAATATTGCAATAAACATAAACATCCTTCTATCTCATTATGTAGGTCTTCCCCACGATGAGATTACCATAGCTGAGGGGCTGAAAGATGTTGGCTACACAACCGGGATGCTTGGAAAATGGCATCTGGTATGTTTTATATCATAGTTTCAATTTCAGTTCCTATTTATGGTTCTCCTTTGCATAGGGTGTAGGGAAGAATGGATCCAACTTGCCAGTTCATCATGGGTTTGACTATTACTATGTAATAAATAATTCTTATATATATATATTATATCCTTCTCCACTTTTTCTCAGCACTTATCATTTACCCTTATTCTCTCTTTTAGGGGATACCCTACACTCATGATGCTTGTCCCTGCTCTGTTTGCTTCTATCCTGATGTAGGATGCTATCAGAACCCAGCCACACCATCAACCTGCCACCCTGCTGAAGGTAGAGATTAGCTGAGAGTCTGCATAAATTAAAATAATGAATAAAATTGTAATTTTTTTTTTCTTTCAAGCTTGTTGTCACTTTGTTAACACCTTCAATGTGTTAACAAGGTTGTCAAAAAATAACAAGGGAGAAATTTTTCAGCCATTATTTTAGGCAATGCCTATTCAACATAGGACTTTATTTCTGTTTTACTTTATATCACTGTTTAATATACATCTACTTAGCTTATAAACTGCAAAATAGGATCTATAGTTACCTGATACTGTGATTATGCTTTTATGTACTTGTAGAGTTTGTCGGGTGTCCAATAATCGAGAACAAGTCTATACTCCAGCAACCAGTGGACCTACTCACACTCAACTATCACATGACTAATGCTGGCACAAACTTCATCAGGAGATCTGCAGGTTTTTAATCATTAATCTATGTGTAGTGTACATGCATAAGCTCATGAATAGTATTCTAGTTTTTAATGATGAGATGTTTTGTGTTCTACTCATGCTTTTCTTCAGCTTCAGGACAACCTTTCTTTCTTTATTTTGCATTCCATCACACTCACTGGCCTCAGTTTGCTGGTAAGATGTTTCGAAATTCAAGTATTGCAGGACCTTTTGGTGACACTCTAGTAAGAAAAATAATCCATTCACTTTGTGTATGATAATAATTATTTGAATTATTGTGTGTAGCGTGAGATTGACTGGTCTGTTGGACAAGTATTTGAAGCTCTTTACGAAACTGGAACTTACGGCAATACATTTGTACTATTCACTGCAGACAATGGGTATAGGGTAGCTATAGTCCTTCTCTCTTTCCCTCTCTCTCTCTCTCTCTCTTCTCTCCTCTCTTCACTGGATGCTATTATTTGGAGGATATTTCCCATTTTGTGTGTCTATTATATTCTTCTCTCCTTTCTCCTTCTTTCTCCCTCAGACCAGATCTAGAACAGCAGGAATATGGTGGCAGTGCTGGTCCTTTCAGATGTGGTAAAGTCTCCACGTGGGAAGGAGGTTTTAGAGTGCCTGCAATTGCCTGGTATCCTGGAAAGATTGCTACTGGCAGGACTACAAAAGTATAACTAGCATTAATATATATTTTTTGTTTTGAATGCAAGTGAATGCATTATGCTTCTTTTTCTTTTTCAGCTGGCCGCAGGATATGATATTTTACCAACTTTTTTTAATTTGGCTGGAGCTACCATACCGAGCGATCGTAAGATGGATGGCTTTGACCTTGCACCTATTCTTTATAATAAACAAGACGTAAGAGTAGAGAGAGAGAGAGAGAGAGAGAGAGAGAGAGAGAGAGAGAGAGAGAGAGAGAGAGAGACTGCAAATCTATAATGTCCTCTTCTTTTCATGCAATGTAGACTGAGAGAACAATAATACCATACTTCCCTGAAAATGCTGATCCCAGCATAGGCCCTTATGCATTAAGATGGAAGCACTACAAAGCTCACTTCTATACAAAAGGGTATGAACATGAAGTATAGTAATATATAATACTCTGTATCTAGCTTTTAGCCAAGTTATCAGAGGTGATACTTATAGGGTTGATGATTTAACTATGAGATTTAAATAGTGTTTTTTTATTTTCTTCTTAGTGGCAATGCTCCTCCTACTCATTATGATGTTCTGTGTCGGAACACGACTGAACTAACAGCACATGATCCTCCTCTCCTCTTTAACCTCTGGACTGATCCAGGAGAAAGGGATCCACTGACTGAAAATGATTCAATGTATTATTATCTTCTTGAGAAGATGGACGAGGTAATGTCTAGCAGACATGGGGTTGGATTTTTTATGAAATTTTATAGTTGCTTCGAAATCAGGATTAAGTCTCTGTACAGGGTTATTGACCAAATTTTGTCAAAAATGAAAAGAAGAGAATTTGCCATTTTATAGCATTTTCTGATACAAATGCATGTACTTATGATGTGTAGAAAGTTTGACTGGATCCCGATCAAAGTTGGGTTTTTTACAAACTTTTAAAGTTGTTCCAAAATTGGCCTAAAGTCCCTGTACATAGGCCAAATTTTGCCTGGAGAGAATTTGTGCCATTTTACTAATTTTCCTGATACATAATACATGTATTTTAGTTGCAATCTCTCACTCTTATCTACGTGTATAGCTTCGTACTGACTTTATGAATGACATGGAGTGGCATACTTCCTTTGAAGAAGATGGGGAAGATGATTCTGTGCAACCATGTGCCAAACCAGGCTGCAGCCCATGGCCTTATTGCTGCACAATTGATTTGCTTAATAATCCAGAGGAGCACAGTTCTAACAGACTTTAAACTAATAAGCTGATATTATTATTATATTATTGTATGTGCTATATAGTTGAACTGAACTTGTCATAGTTATAGTTCATTGTTTGAGATCATAGACTATTATCATGAATGTATTATCATCCACTGGAAAAGAAAGGGAGTCAAAGGATGTACATCAACACAATAATAATGATAATAATAATAATAATAATAATAATAATAATAATAATAATAATGATAATAATAATAATGATAATAATAATAATAATAATAATAAGCTATTAGAGGGTCATTGTTAGTCTAGATCTTACTACCACTTGATGATGATGACCCAGTACCATATACTCTAACACTATTGATCCTAAAGTGTGAACATACACATGAAGCCATATCAATAGCAAAACCAACTGCTGTTACTTATAATTGGTTACTACATGGCCTTAACTTTGTGAAATATTATTTCTGCATCATGATCCACCCACCACATTCATAACCAGCAAAAGATATGCAATTTACATGTACAAACGGGGGAAAAACAACTCGGCATTTTTAATGTACATGTAGATGGAGAAAATTCAAGCAGACCTTTTGTTTTCTGTCTTTTCTATTTCTGCTCTCTCTTTAGCTGTGATCTCTTTCATTTTTTCTCTATTGTCTCTAAAAATAACAGCAAAAATTGTACAATGTATGATTAGTTATACTGTACTTGTAATAAATGACACCTCCATCATCATACAATGAAAATGGTGTTTGACTGATTGACTGAATGGCTGGATCCCATTCCAACTCATTCTCAATATCAAGACATGATATCTCAGCTGGAAATGATCCCAAGCCCTTTAAAAGGAGAAATTGCTCACTGATAGTAAAATGTCAATGGCTTACCTTTGCAACAGAAATAGCATCAACAGGAACTTCACTTAACTCTGAAAGCTAAAGAAAAGAATCACATAACAACATTTTATTATACATTCACCTTCTTTTTAAGGTCTAAGGGACTAGCTGTGTCCAGTATAACTTCTTCTGTTGGATCAACTGAACATTCTGATGGACGCCATCTTCTAACATACACCTGCATCTGTGTTGGGAGCTTCATCTTTTCAGGTTCTATCAAAGTATAATTGCTGAATAATACCCTCATTATTTTAAATTTAAATACTGACCTTTCAATGGTTCCACATACATTTCACTACCAGCATATACATGAATATCTTTATCAATCAACTGATGATCAAGATACACTGTACCAGGAGACCTCCAAGTCTTCTTACGTAATCTCATTCTACACAATAAGTCATATGATACTGTAATACCATATAGCGAGAAATTTTGGAGGGAATTAAATTTGGTAAATTTGGCATTTTGATAGCCATTTGCCAAAATAAAATCCATCATTTTGAGACATTATACACATACTCAATGGCATGTGGCCAAATTAAAATTTGCTAATCATCAGAATTCATCAATTTGCCAAATTTTACTCCCTCCAAAATTTCCCCATTATACAGTAGTCACATGATGTACTTACTTGTCTAATTCAAGGACACAGTCAATTCCTTGTACTTTTGCTTCTTCAATAATTTGTTTTTTAAATTCTCTCACTGGTGTATTCTTAGCAACAACAGACTCCATCATCAGATTAAAGAACTAAAAATCAAACTTAACTACAATAGTAAAATTGCTATTGCCTAACCTCTGTATTGTCAATGTGCAATAAAAATAATTTAATTCTGCACTCTCCTACTTGTAATGCCCTACCCAGTCTTACTACAAACTGTAAGGAAGAGAAAAGGTCATGATCAAGTGAAGTAGAATTAAATAATTACTCTTGATTCGGAAGGTATTGCCATTAATGAGTCAGTTAATCTCTCCATTTCATATTCTTGCTGGTTATTGTACACCCTATACACTTTAAAGCCAGTAGGTGGTACACCAATCAGTGGAACTAGCTCCTCCTTCAATTGAGCTAATGTGGTTCTCTGATCAACTCTTATCTGTATATCTGACAAAAGACACATGGATGTAGTTGTATCTTCTTGCAACCAACATACAGTGTACATATAAATTAATACTGATGTACTTAAATGTTACAAATTTTATGGTTTAAATAAATCAAAATTCTCATAAGCAATTGAGCATGAAAATGAAGCTCCACAAAAACCATTAACTTTAACTGCCTTACCTCTTTTCTTTCCTTTCTCTTCTTCATTCCTTGAAAAGGACACTACCTTTAAAACCCCTCCCCCTCCTCCTTTCCTTCCTTCCACACTGCTTGAAGGTTTACTCTTCACATCCTCCTTTTCTTCCTCCTCTCCTCTTCCTGGTGTATGTTCTTGGAAAGGAGGTAGTGTGATGTATAGTAGTACTGAATTGATGTGAGCATCAACATGTTTGTACATGAAGCTCTCTTTGTACTGTCTATCATAATCTTCAGAATCAGAGGCAACAAATAACTACATGAGAGTATGTGTACTAATTTACAACATAAAATATCACCACATGACTTACTGTGTGTTTCCTGTAGAGTCCTTCTCCTTTTAGTGAACTAGCATCATTTGGTAAATGTCTACCATCCTTATACACCTCAAGGATCAGCCTCATACATGAAGGATCAAGATTAAATATCTGAAGAATGAAAGAGTAAAACAAATATGGTTGCTTGTGTCCCTACTTCTCCTATATATTGCTTTAATTCTCCAACAGTCCAACCTTGTTCTGCTCTTATTGGTTCAGCTGGTGCTACATCACCAGTTGACAGATCAATCACAGCTATCATCAGTTTCATGCCTACAGTACACCATCACACAATTATATGACTTGTCATCATAGATAATAGAGTAAATGAAAGGGATTGGAAACTTCCGTATGGGCGTAGCCCAACCTCCATTCATTTGTATTGCTGCTAGGCTGACAGAGGCTCGTTGAAATTTTTTGTCAAAATTTACCCTTGATTTTCTTTCTTTTAGGAGCAATATCTTGCGAACAGGTGTTCCTATGTAAGTGAAATTAATGCATCAAGAAGCCTAATGTTTCCTCTTTATAATTCTGTTTTCTATTGTATAGATAATTTTACTATGTTCATGTTATGGCTCTTTTAAAACCATAAAATGTATTTTTTGTCATTATAATCCCTTTTTTGAAAACAAGCTAGAGTAAAATGCAATATCTTTATAATCATATGAAAGAGCTTTCATTTGCATATGGAATGATACTAGTTAGAGTTAGAATCCATGAAGCATGAGTTTGTTACAACAGAAAAAGGGCGAAAAATGAAAAAAAATTGTTGTACTTATAACTCGTTGCAAAATAGCGTTGTAGAAGTAAAAACCTTGCTGCAGATAGTCCTACACTTTCTATATGGAACAATAGGGATATCATAAGTAAGTGTCCTCTTGGATCTCCATAAATATCCTTCGAAGTCCTTGCAGTACAGCCTCACTAATGGAGGAGATGGGAAATCAACCAGGTTTTGAGCCGGTAACCAATAGCAACATCAACCAGCCTACGCCCCCGTTTCCAATCCCTTTCATTTACTCTATTATCTATGTTGTCATATCATCATGGGACAAACCACACCCACCTCCTTTATTGTATTTCTTGAAGGTTTCGTTTTCTTTACGAGTTTCTAAAAACATTTCAAATGAATAATAACTTCTAGCGCCACCCACAAGCTGTCCAAAAAAGTGATCTTGAAACTATAAAACTAACAATCAATAATAATAGAATGAACCACACCCACCTCATCAAGATCAAAGGATTGATCCATTGCTTCAGCATAATCATCATATTTAACCAAACGACATCTCTCAATAGGAATATGAGGAGCTAGTTTCATTATCTGATTGAGAGAGAGGAAAATTGTCAGTTTAAGACAGATCGAGTACATTTTATGATCCAAACCTTATAAGCTTCAGCCAGTGCTTGGGGTAGTTTAATATCCTGGTGTACTTTAAATCTTGACTCAATCATTTTCCCGGTAACAGGATGAACACAAAATAACTTAAACTACAAAAATGAAATGTATATACAATGTAGGAGTACTCCTCTTGAAGGCCTAACTTACTTTACACATTTGTCTCTCCTTCTTCTCTACATTGTCTTTAATGTCTTTTATAATCTTCTCATTGTGTTCTCTTTTAATAATTAGCTCCATATTTGTTATTGTTATTCTTTCTTGTAATTTCTCTATTATTCTTTTATCATCTACCAATGGCTGATAGTCTGGTCTTGTCATTGCTTCAAGATGAAACTTGCAGTCATCAATTTCAAAAGCCATTCCTCTTCTCACTTTACCAGCAGCTTAATAATAATCATATAATTATTAGTATATAATTAAACTACTCCAACCTGAATCAGTATTACTAGAAAGTGATCTCAAATAACCAATCTTCATTTTTGATAATTTGTCTGACAATTCTTTATTCCTTCCTTTTATTTCATTAAACTGAGAGTTGAATTCACTCAATTCTTTATCAAGCAATACTTCCTATTAATAATAATTATAATCAATTTAATTGATTTCAAAAAACTGGACAATGATTCTTCCTAGCAATTAATTAAAATAGCTAGTACATGTACACTTGTAGTTAATAGATACATGTATAGGTATATAACACAGCGAGCAGGGTTTCCCACATAGCATAATATTTGAACTAAACAATGAGCTGACAAGCAGTATATGGCATTGGAGCAACTCTATAAAAATTCATAAAAATTCCAAATTTGATCAGAATTAGCTCAAAGTTGAAACACAGCATAAAGACATGTATAGCTAACCTCAGGTACTGTAATCATTGACTGTTCTTGTTTCAATTCTTTTATTTCCTATTATACATGTAAGTACAAGGAAAGAGATGATCACCATTAAACAGTCTAGCATGACATACCTTCTCTTTGCTACTGATAATATCTCTTAGTTTATATTCAGCTTCTTCAAGTATAATATAAGAAATAACCTAAAAAATACATGTAAACTCTTGAGTACTTAAAATTGCACTTGTATCATGATAAAAAATTAAACTGACTTCTGTATGCTGTAATAAGTCTTGATCCTTTACTTTTAGTTCCTATACAAAACAATATCCATAAAACAATTTATGTTATGTGCCTTTTGCCTAACATCTTGTTTCCTCCATAATGTTAAGTTACCAATAGTCAGTTCCTTTAATCCTTGTCCCATTAGTATATGAATATTCTCTATCATCCTCAATACAGTAAACCCAACATCGGAGAAAGGAAAGGAGCAAGTGACAGATATTGATTTGGAACGCTCTATATAATTGATCTTCAGCAATTTCCCAGATACTTTTGCAAGGAGCTCCATAATATCTTTGAGTAAATGCTCCTCAGGCTCCCAGTCAAAGATAAAAGTAACTGTTTGACATTGAAGAGGAGGAATGGAAGCAAATCTTTCTTTCAAACAAAGACTAATGGAGAGTGATTTGCAGAATTTCTTTAACTCTGTTCTATATGCTTCAATGTATCCTGTAGCTTCAGTGATCTCCATTTCTTCCACAACACTATGAAGGAGTTCAATATCAGTTAGTGAACACTCATCTTGAATAAGACGCAATACACTAGGAATATCATCAGAACATTGCTCCACTTTTCGTCTAAGAACAGTGCCACAACAAGACAGAAATTCCTTAATTTCTTCTAAAGGAGGAGATTTCCGTTTAATGATCTTGCCAACATTGTAGAACATTTTTCCATAACACATTCTCATTGATCTGAAGTCCCCCAGTAAGCCTTCAGAAACAGGAACATGTACTTCAACTATAAAAGATAGTATCACTTTGATAGTATGTATAAAAATGTACATGTAAATACCTTGAGGTGTTAAAGGCTGGGAAGATGTATCAGAAGATGAGTCTATACATAAAACAAATCATTTAGTGATTTTTACAGTATTTATGATATAATAAATTGTGTATTACCTGGTATCTTGGTTTCATCAGTGCTTGTATTATCTATAGATATTAATGAACGTATTATCATTTTATTATTATTCATAATTATTATTACCTTGTGGATCAACAAGTAAATCATGAGGTTTAGTCTCACAAACCTCACCCACTTTAGGAGTAGGAAAATACTTACCTATTATAAGAATATATAGCTTTGATTAAACATATTTTATACTCACTAATATCATCCAGTATAGTTTGTCCCAGTGATATATTAGTACTTATTGTACACAATACATTAGCAAATGTATGTAAACTGTTGGGATCAGTTTGAACAGCTTCTTTGACAGCAGTTAATAGAGCCTCACGTTGATTAGGAATAGAGGGACTAGCTGACACCACTCTACTAACTGCTTCTTGTGTTAACATACGTTCAGCAAAAAGTAACCCAGCAATACCAACAGAATCACAAAGAGACTGAGACAGGACAGTATGACGATTATTAAAAATAGTCATAAGGACATGATGTTCTATGATAAATACAATGATTATCGTTACATGCAGTTATGGTTGACTCACTTAACTTCTCCGCTACAGCAGTTTTATTCATAGATCGTAGAGCATCTGACAGTGAGTCAAAGTTGGCTCCTCCTCTACTGTCAACATTATCAACTCTACGTAGCCAATGAGAGAGACACTCTGTCAAGCATTGATACACGTCACCAGGATATTTCACTTCAATGGCTTCCACCGTATCTTTTAGTAGTCCTAGTCTCAATCCCAGATCTTGCCACTTTGTTCCCTGAAAGCCACATTTCTTCAATAAGTCAATAACATTAATCAAGTCACTAATATCTAAGTCTATAAAAGAAAACATGGCAGATTAAAATAGCAGCATCAACTTTACTAGAACTTCACCTAAACAAGTTTGATTAGTGGCCATAGTTCCATTAAAATATAAAAATGCTTAGTTTCTTCGAGACTAAAAACTGCTTTTCAATGAAGTATAAACTTGTCCTATAGAGTAGACTAAAAAATATGTTAGTTGGTAAAAATAAGGAGGGGTCATAGGGCGAGGCATGGGCCAAGGGTGGGGCTAGATCTTAATTGCAAGGAATGCCAATACAACCATAGATATTAGAGAAGATATTAGAGTATAAATAATACTCTAATATCTATGAATGCAACAGACAAAGCTCAGCTTTAAAAGAAAGGGTTGTTAAAAAAAATAAATTTAAATGACAATAATTATGCATTATGACTGAAGTCTTTCGTTCAGTTTCTGTCTCAGTGTCTTAATGTGTCCAACTTTAGTGATCCCAAGATCTTTTAAATCAGTGTGCATTTCCAGTCCAATCTCAGTCAGCCAACTACAGACCCTGTCAACTGACCAAGAGGAGACAGGAGCAGAGCTGTTCTCTTCTGCTGCAGCGCTATATAATATAAAAAATAAATAGAAGTACATGTAGATAGAGTATCTGTCATATACGAGTCACTTAGAGAGGATGAAGTAATTTTCTCAATATTGTACATGTACTGGTAAGTTGCTTCACGAGGTATGAGTCCATCTTCTTGATCATTAACAGTATAGGACCTTCACAAGTACACACTGACCGATTAGATTTACCACCATTAGTGTAATTCAGTGATGTATTTCAAACTCTATATAATAATAAAGATATAGCTTAGACTTGCATCAAAAAAGCTTACTCATTGAGTGCAGTGGATATGATTGGTTACAGATAATACAAGTGGATATGGTTGGTAAACATTGTGAACTAACACTGTAATATTTTCAGAGAACACAAAGATGACAGCAAATGAGAGACAAAAGTACTGACAGGCACTGAAGTGAGGCCATCATTACTCTGAATGTGAGCAACTGACCAGAATATTCAGAGAAGCTACATATGCATGTAACTGCACTGTGAGTTGTACAAGAAAACTGCATAACAAGGATATAGCACAATTCATAAGAAATCGACAACAGCTACAAAACATTGAAATATTAGTGGCTGTGAATACAGGATTGGTGAGGAAAGCTGACTTACACACATTCAATAAAATAAAATTTATCATTTGATGTATTGGAAAAAAGCCGTACAATGTATAGTATAAAAGCATAATTGGAAAAGTTTGCTATAAAGTATCATTAATGACAGTTACTGATTGTAGCCAAACTCTCTGAAAATGGCCATGATCTCCTCATCATCTTGAGCAATATCAAGTGGCGTGACATCATTCTAAAAATATAGAAACAAGATGAATATAATTAAAGACATGTTAAGAAAAATATAGATACAGTATACATATAAATTTCTGATGTTACTTTATCTTTTATGTAAGGATCAGCTTTATACTCCAATAAAAGATGTACGATTTTTGAGTAGCCACGTTTAACAGCATAGTGAAGAGGAGTAGAACCAGTCTGTATGTACATGTATGCATGTACATAAAAATGAGCTTAAAATAGTACATGCACATATAGATCAATAAGTTATATTTGTCTCATAATTACAATAAAACTCTGATCCTTACATCATCAGGTATATCAGGATCAACTCCTTCATGCTGAAGGAGTAACTTCACAACTTCATAACGTTTTGGTTTCTGAATGCTATCAACTGCAATATGAAGAGCTCTCTTTCCTTCATCCTAAAGACAAAAGTAACAACAACATTTTATAATACTAGTCGATAGCTGCCTACAGAATCTCTAATATTAACACTAGCTCCATGATTAAGCATAGTCTCTACAACATTAGGATGAGCTTGAGTTAATGCAACATCAAAAGCTCTCAAGCCACTCTGAGAGAGAAAGGGAGGGAGAGAGAAGAGGTGGTTCAAAGTTATCAGTTATTTCTATAAGTTACAAGCACCTTATCTTTAATGTTAACATCAAGTTTGTGGTCAATGAGTACTTCAACAACTTCAGCATGACCATGTCTAGCTGCAATGTGAAGGAGTGACCACTCACCCTGTAACACAAGTACAGGATTATTAAAGTGTCATAATAAAGGCATAATGTAACATGTTATGATAACAGATAAAAGAGAGACAGTAGAGAGCTACATGTAAGGAGCTGTCACCTCATCATTTACACCAAAGTCAGCTCCATATTCTATCAGTGTTTCAACAGCTTCATGATGTCCTCTCATTACAGCATTGCTAATAGCAGCCCATCCTCCCTTAAGAGAGAAAAATTATAAATATAGACAGGACTGGAGCTCTCACTTCTTCCTTTTCATCTATGATAGAATAATCTTTCTCAAGAAGAGCCTTCACAATGTTATTATGACCATCCCAAGCTGCTTTATGCAATGGTGTACAACCATCCTGAGAAAGAGAGGGAAGAAGAGTTCGCTTTAAATAGGGAATTGTAAGACAGTACATGTATATGTACTCTAGTATAAAATAAACAGATTTAGTAGGTGAAGAACATACTAATCCTTTGCTTCCAGGACTGGCTCCCTTCTCCAAGAGAAACTCAACAACTTGTAAGTGATGTGATGAAGCATAATGTAATGGAGTGTAACCCTCCTACACAAGCATAAGATAAATTAAAATATGATACCTATCAAATTTTGAATAGTTTGTAGCTACATCACCTTATCAACAGCATTAATGTCAGCTCCATACTCCAAAATTAAAGTTTGAACTAAAGTCAAATGACCATTATCTGAAGCATAGTGCAATAGAGTTCTACCATCCTGATATTATACATAAAGAGTTTGAATAGCCTCTAGTTACATTACCTTATCAACAGCATTAATGTCAGCTCCATACTCCAAAAATAAAGTTTGAACTAAAGTCAAGTGACCATTACCTGAAGCATAGTGCAATGGAGTTCTACCATCCTGATATTATACATAAAATAAAACATAAAAAGCTCATGGCTTACTTTACCTTGTCTCTGATATCAACAGTTGCTTCATTGCTCAATAGTAACCTCACAGTTTCTTGGTGACCAATCTCAGCAGCCCAATGAAGTGGAGTCTTGTTATCCTATCATAATATCATACAATGTACATACTGCTTTGCAAGAAGAATCCTTAAAATTAACTGTATACACGTATGTGATTATTTGCAGATTTAATTTTTATGCAATTGTAAACTGTAAAAATAAATGCATGCAAGTTTTCCATGCTACATTTGCACAAGCACACACTACATAATTATACAAAGACATAACTCTACATTACACCATTACACATATCCAAAATGGTAGTAATAGTACGTGTATCATTAGCATACTACACAATATAACTTTACCTACAAAAATGAAATGTACACATGCAATGTACATGCACAGGATTACTCCTCCTAAGGGCCTAACTTACTTTACACATAATATGCATCTTCTTCTTCTCCACATTGCCTTTAATATATTTTATAATCTTCTCATTGTGTTCTCTTTCAGTAATTAGTTCCATATTCGTTAATGTTATTTTTTCTTGTAATTTCTCTATTATTCTTTCATTATCTACCAATGGCTGATAGTCTGGTCTTTTCATTGCTTTAAGATGAAATTTGTAGTCATCAATTTCAAGAGACATTCCTCTTCTCACTTTGCCAGCAGCTTAATATAAATCATATAATTATTAGTATAATAAAACTACTCTAACCTGAACTAGTATTACTAGAAAGTGATCTCAAATAATCAATCTTAATTTTTGATAATTTGTCTGACAAATCTTTATTCTTTCCTTTTATTTCATCAAACTGAGAGTTTAATTTATTCAATTCTTTATCAAGTGGTTCTTCCTATTAATAATAATTATAATCAATACAGATATATCTATACCTCAACTTCTTTAATTGATTTAGGATCACTGGACAATGATTCTTCCTAGTAATGAATTAAAATAGCACATGTACACTTGTCGTTAATATATACATGTAGGTATATAACACACCAAGCAGGGTTTCCCACAAAGCATACTAATTTGACTTAAACCATGAGCTAATGTATGTAGCATTGGAGCAACTCTAAAAATTCATAAAAACTCCAAATTTTATTGGAATTACATGTAGCTCAAAATTGAAACACAGCATAAGGACATGTATATTTATCAGAAAAAATTATAATAAATGAAGGACTCTTAATTTTAAAGCAACATGACAATTTATTGACAAGAAGCTAAATGAGCACTATGCCAAAATCCTGTGAGAAATCCTAATAGCAAGACCAATATATGTTAACATTGATGCATTCATGATCAATAGTGCAATGATAACATATTAGCTAACTTCAAGTATTGTAATCATTGACTGTTCTTGTTTCAGTTCTATTGTTTCCTATTATACATGTAAGTACAAGGAAAGAGATGATCACCATTAAACAGTCTAGCATGACAACCTTCTCTTTGCTACTGATAGCATCTCTTAGTCTATGTTCAGCTTCTTCAAGTATAATATAAGAAACAACCTGTAAAAATACATGTAGATTCTTGAGTACTTAAAATTGCACTTATATTATTGTAAAAAATTTAACTGACTTCCGTACGCTGTAATAAGTCTTGATCCTTTTCTTTTAGTTCCTAGAGAAAACAATATTCATTAAAAAATACCGTATAGGGGGTATATTTCATGGGGATTTAATTTTGCTAATTTCACGGTTTAAAAAAAATTCGTGGAAATTTTTATCTATGAAAATTATTTTTATCATACTAATAATGGTCAGTAGAAGAAAAACACCAAAATTCTTTCTTGTGAATAGGTTGAAAGGTGATTTTCGTGAAATATTTTCCACGGGAAATAATTATACCCCCTATATGGTATTCAACTATACCTTTTGTCTAACATCTTGTCTCCTCCATAATGTTAAGTTACCAATAGTCAGTTCCTTTAATCCTTGTCCCATTAGTATATGAATATTCTCTATCATCCTCAATACAGTAAACCCAACATCAGAGAAAGGAAAGGAGCAAGTGACAGATATTGATTTGTGAGGCTCTATATACTCAATCCTTAATAGTTTACCAGATACTTTTGCAAGGAGCTCCTTGATATCTTTGAGTAAATGCTCCTCAGGCTCCCAGTCAAATACAAGAGTAATTGTTTCACATTGAAGATGAGGAATGGAAGCAAATCTTTCCTTCAAACAAAGACTAACAGAGAGTGACTTGCAAAATTCCTTTAACTTTGCTTTATATGTTTCAATGCATTCCTTGGCCTCAGTAATCTCCATTTCTTCCACTACACTATGAAGGAGTTCAATATCAGTCAGTGAAGACTTGTCTTGAATAAGACGTAATACACTAGGAATATCATCAGAACATTGCTCTACTTTTCGCCTAAGAATAGTGCCACAACAAGACAGGAATTCTTTTATTTCTTCTAAAGGAGGAGATATCCGTTTAATGATCTTTCCAACATTATAAAACATTTTTCCATAAGACATTCTCATTGATCTAAAGTCCCCCAATAAACCTTTTGAAACAGGAACATGTACTTCAACTATAAAAGATAGAGTCATTTTGGTAGTACGTATAAGATGTATATACCTTGAGGTAATAAAGACTGGGAAGATGTATCAGAAGATGAGTCTATAAAATGAATTATTTAGTGATTTTTTACAGTATTTATAATGTACCAGATCGTGTAATAATTGGTATCTTGGTTTCATTAGTGCTTCCATTATCTATAAATATTAATGAACGTATTATCATTTCTTATTAATTATTACCTTGTGGAACTATAAGTACATCATGAGGCTTAGTCTCAGGAACTACACCCACTTCAGGAGTAGGAAAATGCTTACCTAAACACATAATAAGAATCATTGTGGTTTTGATTAAACATATTATATTATTATACTCACTAATATCATCCAGTATAGCTTGTCCTAGTGATACATTAGTACTTATTGTACACAATACATTAGCAAATATATGTAAACTGTTGGGATCAGTTTGAATAGCTTCTTTGACAGCAGTTAATAGAGCCTCACGTTGATTATGAATAGAGGGACTAGCTGACACCACTCTACTAACTGCTTCTTGTGTTAACATACACTCACCATAAAGTAACCAAGCAATACTAACAGAATCACAAAGAGACTGAGACAGGACAGTATGACGATTAGTAAAAATATTAATAAGAACGTGATGTTCTATGATAGAAATACAATGATTATAGTTATGTATACATGCACGTACAATTATGGTTGACTCACTTAACTTCTCAGCTACAGCAGTTTCATTCATAGATTGCAGAGCATCTGAGAGTGAGTCCAAGTTGGCTCCTCCTTTACTGTCAACATTATCAGCTCTACCTAACCATTGGGAGAGGCACTCTGTCATACAGCGACACACATTACCACGATGTTTTGCCTCTATGACATCCAATGTATTCTTCTTTAGTCCTAGTCTCAGTGCAAGCTCATACCATTTTGTTTCTGGAAACCCACATCTCTTTAATAAGTCAATAATATCAATCAAGTCACCAATATCTAAACCTAGAGTAGCATGGCGGATTTAATACTTATCAAACTTACCTAAATAAGTTTGAATAGAGGCCATAGTTTGATTAAAATAGAACCCCCTATTCTATACAAAACTTGCTTGAACTTGTCCCAGTTCACAGAAGCTGTAAAGTTGTTAAATAATTGATAATAAGAAGCATCAAGATCAAGCACATGGCTAGGGCCAATAGGGAGGTAATGGGTGGGGCTGGAATAGTGCTATAGCTATATATAGTTGTAGTGTAGTGCTATAGCTATAGCTGTGTGTGGTGCTAGTGCAAATGGATCTGCAAACATACAAGCTTAACTTGCTTAATAATGCAACTAGCTCAGCTTTAAAGAAAGAGAGTTAAAATAAAAATAAATGACAATATGCATTATGACTGAAGTCTTTCATTCAGTTTCTGTCTCAGTGTCTTAATGTGTCCAACTTTAGTGATCCCAAGATCTTTTAAATCGTCTCTTGAGAGATCAATGAGGTGTTCACCATATATTTCATTGCTACGGAATGTATCAGTGTGCATTTCCAATCCAATCTCAGTCAGCCAACTACAGACCCTGTCAACTGACCAAGAGGAGACAGGAGCAGAGCTGTTCTCTTCTGCTGCAGTGCTATATAATATAATAATAATAAAGAATAAATATTACAATTGAGAATGCATTACAATGTGCAACCCTCTCTTTTTCATGCTTAATAAAATTTTGAATATTTTTTGAATTGTCTACTAAGCTACTGCAATAACTTGGAGTTGTTGTAACATGCTCAGTTTATATTTTTAATTTTTATATTGTGCTTACTTGTGTTCTGTACTACTGACTTGTGTAGTTACAGTTACATTATCATCTTTTTGTATGTTTGAATGATCATTTAATGCATCAGAGGAAGAAAGAGGTGGAGGAGGAGAAGGAAATGAAGGAGGAGAAGGTGGTGGCAGAAACTCCTCATTCTCTTTCTCTTCCTCGTCTAAGAGCATTGGCACAGGAGGTAATAGATCATAGCTAAACTCATTGTCTGAGGTCTCATCATCAAAAATAGGAGGAGGCAAATCATCATCATTTTCAGGTACAGGAATAGGTCCTGCAGGAAGAACCAAGTCAGTGTCTTCATCAAAAGGTGGAGGGAGGAATTCATCATCAAAAGGCGGTGGGAGCTGCTCATCCAATAGGTCCTCTTCATCAAAAGGAGGAGGTAAAGTGTCCTCTATAAATGGAGGTGGCTCAAACGTGTTGTCTTCATCTTCTTCTTCTAATGTTGGAGGTGGAATAAAGTCTTCTGCTGAATCATCGAATCCATCATCAAAAAATACAGAGTCTCTCTGAGGAGGTGGCAATGGTACCTCATGATGTAGCTCTAATGAAGAGTCCTCAATGATTGATGTGCTTCCTTTATTTCCTGGTGCATCATCCAATGCTTCAATGATAAGTGGTTCTTGTAGATTTCTGTTGTCTTCCTTGTTTTCTTCTTCATCTGAATCTGGTGGTGGCCCACTAGGCAGTGGAGGTGGGCTACCAGCACTATCACTGTCACTGTCAATGTCCTCATCACTACTACCTCCAGTAGTCAGTTTCACTAGTTTACCAACAATATCGTCCAAAAGGTTATTCTCTGGTGGTGGTGAGGGCTTGTGGTCTGCCTCTTTCTTACTCTCTTTGGTAGATTCACCATCTCTTTCTTCTTTTGTTTCAACTGGTGGCTGCAGCTCCTTATCTTCATTGCTGGTAGCCTTGCTTTCAGATTTTATAGCACTGAAAGATTCTATTGTCGGAGTAAAAGGTGGAGCTGGGATCTCTGGCTCCGTAATATTTGTCAGTCCATCTTCTTCAAATTGAGGTGGCAATGCAAAACAATGGAGGAGGCAGATCCATGTCAACCTCAGCTTCTTCATCTGAACTGTGGGCTAGAGAAAGAGGAGGAGGAGGTAATTCAAATGATGCATTCATCTCTTCATCTTCAACTAGAGGAGGAGGAGGGAGGAAATCATCTATAAAAAATAATGATTCATGTACAAGTAACTTAATAAGTGCAGACTTACTATTTTCTTCCTCAAGGCTATCATCATTCAATAGCTCAGCAGGTATGGGGAGCTCCTCAAGGGAAATAATGGAGAACCGATTTGAGTCTGTAAATTCTTCAAAGACTGGTGGAGGTAGGAAAGTTTCATTAGGCTCTGGTGGGATTGGCTCGGGATCTGGTTTCAAAGGCTCAAATACTGGTTTGACTTGTTTTACTGGCTCAGGTGCTGGCTCAGAAACAGGTTTTACAGGCTCGGGTGCTGGCTCAGAAACAGGTTTTACAGGTTCTGGTGCTGGCTTTACAGGCTCAGGCTGTTTCTTTGGTTTAGGTTTGATAGGGCCTGGTGGTGGTGGCTTCTTGCTCTGAGCCATTTTCTCAAATTTATCCTTCAAACTCATGACAGGCTGAGGCTCTGGCTCAGGCTCTTCAGGTTCCTCCTCTTTTGGGCTAGTTTCTTTCAATGAGCTAATGCTTTTCTCTTGAGCATGACCTGATGCTGTGTCATTTGAAATATTTTTCTTGGAATATTGTAGCTTCTCTCTATAGTCTCTTCTCGATTTCTTTGGAGAGGAAAAGTTTTTTGCTAAACTAGCAACAGAGGCAGCAGCTGATGTTGATGAAGTATTATGAGCAGCAATTGAAGAAGGAAGATCATCAACCTCTTTACCAACTGATGGCTTAGGCTTAATTGGTGGAGGATTCTTTGGCATAAAAGTAGCAGCTGATGACGTGACAGGTTCTTTTTCATCAAAGTTATCACTTTTCAATGACATTTGTTGTGATGAAGTGTATTTCTCTTCTTTTAACAAAAGAGAAGGAGATTGCTGTTGCTGCTTAGGTGGAGATGCATCTTTTTGCTTGCTTGCCTTAGGTGAAGCTGACGATTGTTCATATGAAGACTGATGATGTGAAACTAATGGTGATGACTTAGTTTTAGGAGAAGAAGGCACCTTTTGTTTGGATTGCTCTTGCTTAGGAGAAGAAGGCTTTTGTGTGTGCTGGCTCTTTGGTGAAGATGCTGTAGCATTTTGTTTGCTAGATAAGTAGCCTTTCTTCAGATGCTCTACTCTTAATGCTGCTTGCTCTTCTCTTTTACTCAGAGACTGCTTTTCAGTCTTGCTCTTATTTGAGGTGGTGTCTATTTTGTGTTCTTTTTGCTCTGAAGTTGTAGCCGGTGGAACGACATCAGCATATGCTGTAAGAGCCTCTGTGTACTCCCATCCATCATCATCATCATCATCATCATCCTTTACTGGCTCTGCTAATAGATCATGTTTCAAAGGAGCAACTGGTGACTGAGGTTTTGTCACAGTGCTACTTTCAGTTTTATGTATGCTTTGAGCTGGCTTCATTGTGGTAATATGACTACTAATGCTCTTAGGACTACTAGTGTTGCTAGCTACATTATTATCATTAGGAGGTCTAGAGGTGCTTGCATTAGTAACTGGTACTTTACTTTGACTTGGGCTTGATGGTGGGGGGAGTTGATCATCTCTTTCCTTAGTTCTCTTGTACCGTTCTCTTGAAGCTTTCCTTAGCTGCTTAGCAAGCTCAGAGAGACCCTCTTCTTCTTCCTCCTCATCCTCTTTCATCATTAGCTTGTAGTTCTCCTCTTCTCTTTGCAATAATTCTTCAGATCTTGAGCTTGAAATGCCACCTGGATCTTTGTTGCTAGTCAAAGCCTCGATCTCTTTTTTATCGCTTGAAGTATCCTTTGCATGCAATGAGTGCTTGACGAGTGGACTAGACTTTTTCACATTGCTCAGTAAAGGTGATGCCGAGGGACTGCCTCGTGTTTGTAGTTTTGGAGAAGAAGATGGCAATGCTTGTATGATCACTCTCTTTTTATCTGGAGGAGTCATTGATATCGGTTGAGGAGGTAAAGGAGATTGTGTATAATTCGTTGCTCCTTCTCCTTCATTTTCTTCTGAGTGCATGCCCCATGCTTGTTGCTTTGGAGAGCTACCCCCAGTTGGATAAGTGGGTAATTCTTGTGCAGCTAGAGGAGGTTCTTCATGGCTACCCTTCGATTCTTCTTTTGGTTGTTTACTTGAAGACGTAACAGCACCTTTCTTGAGAGGAGTGATGACTTTCAAATGTAGCTTGTCACTGTTTGATTGCTTGATAATGCCCACAACTTCTTCATGTGTACTCTTAGTAGTGTTTACTCCATTTACCTATAAAATATAAATAATAGCCATCACATCATCGTAAGATTCCGTGGTGTAGCGGTTATCACGTGAGTCTAACACACTCAAGGTCCCCGGTTCGATCCCGGGCGGAATCACTTTTTGCTTTTTTTTTTTTTTAATTTTAGAACTATTTTTTTCTTAAACTCACTTCAATGATAAAGTCTCCTTTTTGCAATCCTGACATATCAGCTGAGCTTCCTTTATCTATTCTGCCTACATACTGCAGTGCAGGGATCTCTGGTGTTAGTTTACAGTTAGCTCCTGCATTAACAGCTACAAAAACACAAAAATTAATAATAAGAAAAAAACAATTTGCATCCTCACCTTTTATGCCTCTCATTGCAAACCCAAACCCTTTTGGCCCTTTGGAAAGAGTAACAGATTTTATGCCAGGTCTAAATAGAAGAAATAGTTTAATAAGCTGCCTGGTGGTGATAATAACTTACATTTTTTCAGATCCTTTCTCCTCTTTTGCTGCCTGCTGTGCCTGATCATCCCAACCTACACAAAATCATATCCATGGCTTAGATCAAATAGCATTTTAAACTATATACATTTTAAAATTCATATAATTCTACCTTCCATTTTCTCTGTTATGGCATGCTGTGGAAACCATCCTGTTACATCTCCAACTTTTCCCTCCCAGAATCCGCCTTTACCAACATACAGAACTAAAAGAAAAATTATCAGAATTGATAAGAGTTCGCCATAGCATGAGATCCTAATAAAACTAAATGCTATCATGTATAACAGTTGCAACAAAGTAAAGGGTCAAGTCTGACTCTGAATAGATGAGCTAAAGATTACTAAAATTCTGACACAACGATATACAGGCAACATGCAAAACTTTAGCCTATAAGTTTATAAAGGCAGAAATGTGAACATTGTCAGTCACTATTGAAGCAAATAAAGCAATGATAAATGTCAAATAAAATGCAAGAAAGTATTCAACAATCAATTTACCATCAACAGTCATTCCTCTAGTTAAGTGAAGATCTCCTTCCTGCTCGGGATCAACATTCATTGTAACAAAATACTTCTTTCCAGGAGTACCAACTGGATACAGTCTCTCTCTTATCGCCAATGGAGGAGTTCCTGGCATTGGTGCTGGTGTCGGTGACTGGTGCAAGGATTTAGGTGAGGTTTTACGATCAGTTGAGTATCGATGTTTTCTTGATTGAGGTACTGCTAAAGATTCTGTTCTAGGAGAGCCTTCGGTTACTTCTGTGTCTTCCTCGACTGATTTTCCTTTTGGTCCTCTCTTACTACCAGTTGGCATCACAGGGGCTTTCTTTGTAATGTTGTATTTTGTTGGTGGACTAGTGCTGAGTGTGGGGACTTGTGTTTTCTAAAATCAAGAAAAAAACAGATATAGAATTATATGTAGTTATTACTGAATACTGGCTAGCAGTACCTGCTGTGATAGGTTAGTTAAACTTTGTCCTTTGATTAGTTTTGGAGCACCGACAGCAGCCCCAGGTTTACCTCTTGAAGAAGAGGGCAGAGTCTTAGAGCTATATGAGGTTGGTGACATTTCCTTTTCTCTACTGCCAAGAGATCCACGTCTCTCTGTTCCCCATCTCTCTCCAGCAGGCTCACTTTCAGAAGGATCAACAGGATCTATTGAAAGGATTGATAAAACCAGTTGAGCTAGCAACAGTTTGGTCTAATTTTGATGTATAAAAATCCGAAATTGATTGGAATCAGCTTAAACTTTTTACACAATAGAGCATAAATGTAATGATTCTCTCCTATTGATAAAATATCCTGTATATTGGCCTAATTTTAGAGCAACTTTAAAATTTGTAAAAAATCTAATTTTGAGTGGATTCAGCTTAAACTTTCTACACAACATAAGTACAATTAAATGTACCAGAAAATGTAATAAAAATGAAGAATTATCTCCTATGCATACCCATATCTTCCTTCATAAAATTTGCTATCTCCTTTGCCAGATTGTGATGTCCACAAAGTATTGCACTCTACAGATTAAAGGACAATGAATGAGGATTAAAATAGGAAAAAAGAAAGAGACAGGAAGGAGAAGAAATATATCTGTACTTGGTTTGGAGGCTGATGGGATGAATTGAGAATGTAAGGATTGGCTCCTCTTTTCAATAAATGAATGGCTGCATCCAACTACACAAAGTCAAAAAAGTGTGCATTATCATTTAAAAAACTATTATTATCATTATTGTGGGCCTTACCTGTCCATGCTGTGCTGCAACATGCAGTGGAGTGTTCCCTGCTTTATTCACAGCATTAATGTCAGCAGCATACGCTAACAATGCATCAATCATATGGACATGACCATGTTTTGCAATCTATGAAAAGGATTGACAATAGAGTCTTTTAAAGGATCGTGGGTTCTTACTTGATGCAATTCAGTCCAGCCAATGATATCAGTGTTGCCTACTATAGAGTTATTCTTGAGTAATAGCTCACAGACGGTTACATCATCTCCCATAATGGCAGCATGATAGAGTGGGGTCGTGCCCTTTACATCAGTGTAGTTTGGAGATGCACCAAATGACAAAAGAATCTAGAGGAATATAATAAATGCATATAGCATTAATTTTTTATAAAAACTGTTTAAATTTACTTTCAGTGCTTGTGTATTCCCGCCAATGGCAGCTCTGTGTATTGGAGTGAGGCCAGCACTGCCTCTGAAGTCAATGATTGCTCCACCATAGATCAGAGGACTGATGCACTGACTACGACCTTGTCTACCACACGCCAGTCCCAATGGAGTGTCTAAAATGATAAATATTATGATATGCATACACTGTTACATCAATCATTATAGTGCTTTTTATGAAGTAAAAAATCCATCTCATCATGTCATTTTAAAAAAGCTTCATATTTCAGCAAAGCATCAAATTCAAGTTTGTACATTAGTGACTGATAATTATTAATTAAATTACTTTATTAGCGCTGGAAGTTATAAAGTGATAAATTAGCAGACTGTGACTTACTTCCATCCTCCATGATGAAGTTTGGATCTAGACCAGAGTCCAATAGCTTCTCGATCTTTTTGATAGACCCTGACGTCACATGATCAACCAACTTCTTCATATTAGACTATTAATAGTAATAATAATAATAATAATAATAATAATAATAATAATAATAATAATAATAATAATAATAATAATAATAATAATAGTAATAATAACAAAGATCATAGCATGAATACTCCCAATGTTATGTACTTTAGAATTTGCTTTAGCTAATGCTTTCTCTGATAATCCAAGAGCACTCAAGTCTCTTCTCTTGTACCGTAGCTAGAAGGAGAAGGGAAGAATGAGAGAGAGAGAACAAAGCTAGAAGTTTTACCTCTAGATGAGTGATAACTCCTGATTGCTCTTCTACCAGTGGTCTGGATTCATCTAGAAATCGACCTACTTTCTTTCTGCCAGTTGGAGGAATGTAAAATCCGTAATTGTTAGCAACATCAATGGGCCAGTCCTGCATAAAAAATATTTACAAATATATGACAATATAAAGAAGAGCTAACTATGCAAGTTAAACAGTCTAGGATAGAAATTTGAGCTACTGATTTTAGTTTCCTCAATACAATGGTTTTGAAATTGTGATGCAGCATGAGTACTGGGCAGCAAATCACATTTAAAAAAAATTAATAATCATGAAGCTATGATTAAACTTTCTTGGTACAAGAGATTAAAGTGTCAATGCTCAACTACAATAAGTAACCTATTGTGCTCAAATTGACTGAACATCAAAACACCACCTGCTATATGCATGACTAACTTCTGACTCTAGCCTCACATACGGACAAGCAAGCAGCATGATATAACAGCATCTCTGCATCATTACAAATTACCATAAAGCAGCCAGAGCTAGCATTATAGAGATCTAGGCTTACAGTGCATCATGCAAATGCAGCATAGATCCATGTACTCATGCTGCAGACTTGCATACACTTACATGACTCAGTTTTTCAAGGACTGCTTGCTTAGCGTATCCCACTGGGTCTGTCTTGCCTATGACTATCCTGGTCTGTGACTTGAGATCAGGTACATCGACTCTCACTAGAATCCCTGCACCATCATGCTCATCCATAACTGAGTCACACTCTTCAATGATATTCCTCTTGCTGAGATGCTAAATATATTGTAGCCGCTGTTTAAAGACCAAAAACCAAGCAAGGAGAGTACAAAAATTGAAAATAGTAGAGAGAACACCTAAACAAACTATTTGAAGGAGCTATAGGGGCGTGACACTACAAATAAAATTCATATTCCCATTATAAAAATAATTTGCATGTACAACCACCCACGCAACAGATTGCCATTTCCGGATTATAAATAAAAATCAGACTAACAACCATTATTATTATTATTAGTATTATTATTATTATTATCAATTATATTATTATCAATATCATAAGGTAATCATTTTGCCAACCCCACATCAGAATGAGTTCCTCCATTAGTTTCCAAGGCAGCCTGGCCTTGCTTTCCATTCAAACCCAAAGACTCATTCATGCCATTACAATCAGTTCCTTCCGTCTTGTCTCTTTTCCTTTCTCTCTCTCTCCCCTTTCCTTTAGCCATGTCTGCTTCTGCATGCACTGTATCTTCATCTACAAAATTTTCAAAAAGTGAATCGTCCTGCATTTCTGATACCGTCAGAGGTACAACAGAGGGTGTCACAGGATCAGGTATCATACTCTCGTTGAACTCATGGCGATAAACCTTAAAGTCCCAACTACACGTTAGGAAAGAGGTGGAGTCCTGTTGCCATGATAACCCATGAACAAAATCAGCATGGGATGAGCTGGTAAACCTAATTAAATGAGGGGGTGTGAGACCATGTCTTTGGCTGTTAGCCCAAAAACTGAAATTTTTTTAATTTTTATTTTCCATTGACAGTATAGCACTTATATTTTGTAGTTCCTGCTAGGCACTTGCTACATAAAAAATTCATAAATTCATTGAACAGGATGTAGCATAAAAATTTAATTTCACAAAATAATTATTCCGTAAAAAATATGCAAAAATTTGATATCTGCAAAATATAAGTGCTATACTGATTGTGTAGCTACCCAGATTCATTAAATTCACTTACACGGTGGTCTGAGTGGGGAAATGAAACAGTTTAGCTGTTGAGTCATCAGAAACAGAAGCAACAAGTCCTTTGACAGTTGGAGAGAATGAAAGACGATGAACAGCATTGGAATGTAGTCTATAATAGAAAGGGGAGGCATTAGGATTGACTGGTAGGCGGAGATCGTGAAGATAAAGATAGCCAGCTTCGTCTCCGGATGCAATAAAGTTATCTTCATATTTTGACCACGAGACACAGAGGCAGTTTGCATGATGAGGAGCTACAAAGAAAAGGGAGTGAGTGAAGGTATGCAATTATTAGCAAAGGATGGACAAAATTTTCAAAAGCTCAGAACTTCTAAAAATTAATGGAATTGACTCCCAGACTTTCTACATAGCATAAGGAATTGAAGGACATTATGCATTAGAAAATTTAATAAAAATTGGGGGTGATTTTAAAACCATTTTATGGAAAAAAACCATGGGGTATAATTTAAGGACACCATTGCAATACACTACCTGTCCTTCTACAATGCCACCTTGCGATTGACCAATCAGATTGCAGTATTGGAGGTCAATTATTTTTCATATTAACCTAGCTCGTAAAAATATAAACCTATCTCGTTAAATAATTAATTGATTGGCAGTTTGGTACTCTACGCTTATGCTCTTATTAGTCCATTTGTCAAGTTTGGTTGATTCTTTACTGGCCTAGCCTGTTAGATATGTTGTATGTATGTCAACTGTGGTCTTATTATTAGCGCTGGTAGTTGTTTTTCAAGTGTCATGGTAGAAGTTGGTTATACACCTCGGTATCGGTTTCTGTGGTATTTATTAACCTCGCGACTGCGTCGCTCGGTTAATAAATACCATAGAAACCTCTACCTCGGTGTATAACCTATACTTAATACAGTATAGTTATGTTATATAAACTCAATTATGTGTCTCTACATTAAGGCTTCAATCTCCCTGTCATTATTTGTGTATGTGCATGTGTTTGTGTAATGTGATCAAGTGGAAGCTATACCTTTATAATAGGATGTGGTGACATACATAATAACTGCTGGCATGCACTAATGGCTATAGTACAGGGATTTTTTCCAGAAATCGACCAATTTTTTTAAAATGGGCATAACTTTAAAATCTAAGCCAGAATCCATTCAAACTTTCTACATAGCATAAGTACATCAATATGTATCAGAAAATGTCATAAAAAATTGGGGGTGATTTTTGGGTCATTTTTCAGAAAAACCATGGGCTATAGTACAGGGATTTTTTCAGAAATTGGTCCATTTTAAAAATGGTCATAACTCAAAAAATTTAAGCCGGAATCAGCTCAAACTTTTTACATAACATAAGTACATCAATATGTATCAGAAAATGTAATAAAAATTGAGGGTAATTTTTAGGTCATTTTTCAGAAATATAGTACAGGGATTTTTTTCAAAAATTGGCCTATTTTTAAAAACGGTCATAACTCAAAAAATCTAAGTCGGAATCTGCTCAAACTTTTTACATAACATAAGTACATCAATACGCATCAGAAAATGTAATAAAAATTGTGGGTAATTTTTGAGCCATTTTTCAGAAAAAACCATGGGCTATAGTACAGGGATTTTTTTCAGAAATTGGCCCATTTAAAAAAAATGGTCATAACTCAAAAAATATAAGTCAGAATCTGCTCAAACTTTCTACATAGCATAAGTACATCAATATGTATCAGAAAATGTAATAAAAATCGTGGGTGATTTTTAAGCTATTTTTCAGAAAAAACCATGGGCTATAGTACAGTGATTTTTTCAGAAATTGGCCCATTTTTAAAAATGGTCATAACTCAAAAACTTTAAGTCGGAATCAGCTTAAACTTTCTACATAGCATAAGTACATCAATATGTATCAGAAAATGTAATAAAAATCATGGGTGATTTTAAAGCCATTTTTCAGAAAAAACCATGGGCTATAGTACAGGGATTTTTTCAGAAATTGGCCCATTTTAAAAAATGGTCATAACTCAAAAAATATAAGTTGGAATCCGCTCAAACTTTTTACATAGCATAAGTACATCAATATGTATCAGAAAATGTAATAAAAATTGGGGGGTGATTTTAAAGCCATTTTTCAGAAAAAACCATGTGCTATAGTACAGGGATTTTTTCAGAAATTGACCCATTCAAAAACTTTACCAAAAATCGACCAATTACAGCTTTTAATTTAAGCTTCCTGCCTGCAGTTCCAAAAACTACATAAAATATTAAAACCTAATTACCTTTAAGAGACATAGTCACTGGAGAAGACTGCCTTGTATCCCAAATCCTTAACGTCTGATCCTAACAGAAGAGAGAGAGAAAAGGAGGAGAAACAGAGAGAGAAGGGCCTGAAAGAATGATCAGTGCTCATACCAGACCAGTTGATATGAAGACGTTGGGTTGAGACGGATGATAGTCAATATCAGTAATCCATCCAACATGAGCTAGATAATTAAATTATTAAACAAAAAAGAATAAAACAAAGGAAGGAGCAAGGACCAGACACACATACCTCTGTACTTACAAACTACTTTAGCTGTACTTACATCCCATACAACAATACTAATATAAAAACACGCAAATAAATCTCTATCTCCTACAGCTGCTTACCGTCCATCCCCACCCCCACTAACAATGCTTTCTCCTTCTTTCTCTTCTTTCACTTTCGGTACACAGACCGTTAAGACCATGTCATCATGTCCTCCATACAGGGCAGAGTCGCATGATAGCATATTCCCAGGGGCAATGACATCCCATATCTCAATATCTCCACTGTCTGCCGCTACAAGGAGTTTTGACTGGTTTAGCCTAACGTAGTATAATTGGGAGTAGTCAAATTACTTAATTAATATTTATTGACTTTTAATAAGAAAATTAGTTTTAGTAATTAACCCACTTAGCATTAATCGCCACATTTGCCCAATTAACTAAAATCACAATAATCAGCTAGTCAAAATAAAAACACACTAAACCAATACCGTATACTAGCGGGAAATTTTGAAGGGACTAAAATTTTGGCAAATTGCTAAATTTTAGTGATTGGCGAATTTTAATTTGGCGAATTTGTGGCCACGTGCTATTGAACATGTATATAATGGCTCAAAATGGCAGATTTTATTTTGGCAAATGGCTATTGAAATGCCAAATTTAATTCCCTCCAAAATTTCTCACTATACGGTAAATGGCTAAAATTGGCCACATTTTCTTGAATATTATAAAATTATATTTTTGTCTAAATTTTAAGTTAGCCCGAACATTATTTGATTCTATGAATAATTAACGATTATATTATTATTATTTACCATGTTATGTCATTGTGTCCGGTGATGGTAGAAAAAGCCTCCAATTCAATATTAGGACAGTTGATGTAATGATCCCAATCATTAAACAGCCATAAAGCACCATCCCACGTGTTGCCAGTTAACGAAGAGCCAGCCAAAGCGAATCCACCATCTAAAAAAGAAAACCTCCTACTCATTCACAGTTCCTTTTACCTTTTCTGTGACAAATGGCATCCAAATGCTTTGCCATGTTGGCTGGGCACTCCGCCTTAACGAGCCACGTGGTGTACACGTGGTATAGCCACTCCCACAATGGCTGGTTGCTATTTGCTTAGAAATACATTGTTTTTGCGTGGCTGCGGAGCTAGGTTGTGCGAGAAAGCGGTACCATTTTCTGGAAGAGTTTCTAATCTAGGAGTTTGTAATACCAGGTATGTTAACAAAAATACTAAAATGATAATTAACGAAAAATCTTAACAATTAAGAGAAAATAATCGTATATTTTTATGTGTAGAAGTTATGCTGTTATTCCTAACACTCAAGAATATCTCAAGAGAAAAGGTTACATTATTTTTAATTGCTAATATTAAATATTTATTTTAAATAATTATTTTGGGACTGTTAATAATGTGATTATACCTGTGGGTTTTGGTAAGGCTTTGTAATGGTTCCATAAGAAGGATGGGGTCTAATCTGCCCTGGAAATAGAGGTTATTCATTAAGACACGGTTTAAGATAATAATGACGTTAGACTACCTGATGTAATGGACTAGCTGATGTAAACACGATGCCACAATTCATTTATAATTAACGAGAATTACTGCATAATGAATTTTATGGAGACAAAATGAATTATTGCAATACTCCATATAATTTAAATGTCATAGCTTTAGACCTGTAGCAATGGTTTGCATTGTAATATTTCTATTTCATTGTCCAATATATTATTAGGGGCCCTCCTACCTTTAATGGGCTTTTGATAATTATAATAAATATTAAAGTTTCTCATTTTTATTTTAGGTGTACTTGAGGCAGTAAATACAGATATTGCTTCTGCTACTCAATCGAAATTATTTGCTGTTGTATGTTTAGGTAAATAATGTTATGATAATTATTTTAATTTTTAAAGCATACAAATTTAATAGAACAGTCAAGTGTACTACACACATATGCATGTATACACGTACATGTATTTTGCTAAGGATTTTATAGCAAAGAGTTTTAAAGTTATTTTAAAATTTCATTTTTGTCAAGGAGAGCTCTACTTGACCTTTAAATTTTTCTGATAATGAAATAAAATTTGAACTATTTTAAAGATGTGCCTGTGACATCATCAGTCAGGTACACAGGAGTGAATAGTTGTCTGTCGGTAGGACTGCTGAATGTACATGTACAGTATGTACATAGTTCCGATGCTAATACATACAATACAAGCATGTTATAATTGCATAGAATTTATAATTGCATAAAAATTAAAAGCTCAACTCATAGAGAAAGTGTCAATCCTTGGTAACTTGCCAAAAATGTCGAGTAAATAAACAAAATGTTTAAAATTTTTTCTCATCCTCCGCTTAATTACATTGTTACTATGCTGCTATTATTCTAATTATTATTAATTACAAGACGTTCCCATTATATTGCTATCATTTGTTAGACATTGTTTATTTACACTCATAGACCTTGTGGTAGCTTTGTAAGAGCTCATTAGAGTATGTCTCAAGAAACACAACTCAATTATATTCTCCAGTGTTTATCGGATTGCACCCATACCGACCTCTTATCACTCACAAATCCTTATAATTTATCAGTTTTATAAATAAGCAAATACCACCGAGTATATAATGATAATAATAATAATATAATATTAGCCGCCTTGTTACGTACTAGAAGCCTCTGATGGCTCGCGAGGTATGCTAAAGCATGACACGCGTAATTATCTTTTCCGTTTGTACCATTTAGCTGGCAGACAACACAAAGTGACAAGCAATGATACACTCGTCGTGAATTCACTCGAGGCCGAGACAGGATCTCAAATATTCCTCAACAAAGTAATGTCATAAAAGTATGGGGCATACGTGTACAATGTATATGCCTTTGCCTTTTATCCAATTATGGGCATATTTTGCTCAGGAAGTCAATGCGTTATTATTATTATTATTATTATTATCTATTTGTTGTGTGTGCGTGTGCGTGAGTGAGTTGGTGTTTTTGTGTACTATAGTCTACCGTCTCTTTCCTTTCATATTGTTAACACTGTCTGTATTTATGCCCGTCTTACATGTACAGTGTAGATGTATCTCAGTTCTTATGCATAGCATTATTGCATTGCTGAATCGAAGTACATGTACATGTACAATATCATAATGTATTCTTGAAAGAGTACGGTAATATCTCTAATGTGGAAAGGCTACAGTTATTATTTATGCAGGATAACATCATAAATTTCCATGTTTTAAGGTTTAAAATGTTTTTAGGTTTTGCTTGTTGGTTCAGAGGACTTCACTTTGATTGGCCGGCCAGTAGTAAGGTGCATTAATTGCATAGTGACACATAATTAAAGATCGTCAACACTATGTTATTATTTTGTTTGTTTATTGTCCAAATAAATATTCATTTCTATGTCTCCTTTTCTTAACTTTGTGTCTCTTCCCATCTTCCTCCTCCTCTCTCTCTCTCTTAAGTTCAGAGACGGTTAAAATAACAGCAACAGTCATTGAACACACTCGATTGAAAAAGATTACCGTATTTAAAAAGAAGAGAAGGAAGAACTACAAGAAGACGCAAGGTAAAACCCCAATTTCCTTTATGAGTGTCACCGCATAGTCACAATGTGTCATTAGCAAGCCCATCCAGCTGCTGGACTGAGAGTTTGATGTCATTTATTCCTTCTTTGTGGAGCCACTATCTACCGCATAATACTCACATCTGCTAAGCGGTAGAGACCAACCCTTATTTCATCTAGGGAGATACCTCTCTATGTCTGCACTTTGTCTGCCTTTTCCCATGTTTATGTAATACGTATTATAGTGATCATTAATGCACTGTTACACCCATCTTGTGTATATTGTGTGAGTTTTGTTGGTGGGGAAAGTGTGGGTGGCTGAACTGTATCTCAGACAGCAGACAAAGGTTAGTTTAAACTCTTTGTACCTCTAGTCTTTGCTGTGGGTTGCTTCCACTAAGTAATCTGTGATATTGTGGTTAATAATCCAAGCCATCAGTCTCTCTCATCTCCTCCACCTTTCTCTTACCATCTAAAAATAACACCTGTGTATGAAACATGTTCAAATGTACCGCTGCATCTATACATGTGTCTCTAATGTACATGGTAATTATATTTTTTGCTTTTGGATATATATGGACAAAGGGCCGCTTAGCCACAAATAAATTAGAAGCGAGCACATACATGTACATGTAATATGGTAGTCGGGCCGGCTAGCCTTTAAATTAATTATCTTCACATTATTGCTGGCGGGTGGCTACCCACAGGCATCATTCATTAATATTGTACTATATTGTTGTCTGTGTTGTACAATGCCTTTCAGGGTCACTCATTCCTGACCAGGTGTTGTGAGGTCGAGAGATTGATTACAGATCTAATTATGGTCTATTGCTTTAGGGGATTATCTGCTCGGACTGTTTTTGTTCCCGTGTTTTCCGTCTGATTAATTAGAGTCCCTACTCTTCTGATCAAAAAGGAAAGCGTGTATGCCCAATAGTGCATGGTTTTCGACACTCTCATCCTTAATGAAGCAACTAACTCAATTCAGTCGACTTATTAGATCATACTTGACGTTCCGTTCCTGGCCACCTCCTTGTTGTTGCTCGTACACTTTGTGTCAACATACACGCTTTAGTGCATGCATATTGCCCTCATTTAGACTCTGTGTGTGTGTGTGTGCATATGTGTCCAATTCTGATTGGAGGTATAATATATACACGTAGCATGTTTGCACATTAAGTAACGATTGGCTCTAGACAGGGTGTTGTATTCATACATTATACTTATTAGCTTGGAGCATATGTACACAAATCTTGTCTTTTTTCTCCCTCTCTCTCTCTCTCTTTATTTTACCAGGACTACAGCTCACGCCAAAGTATAGCATTATTGATGCGTCTAGCCTGCTTTGGCTCACACATGGAGACATACCCATTTGCTTGTGGCAATGTACGCTTTATGTAACCTTACATAATCCTGTTTGTACTGGGAAACAGTCCGTGTCAATTACATTGGTGTCGCTGAGGTGAAATGGTTTCTAATCTTGTTATTTCCTTCATGTATTGCAAAGCCTAACGCAGCGGACTATAATCTAGTGCATTCTTGTATTATGGAGTATGTCGTTCACCCAATTAACATTACTAGCATAGCCATATTGCCTAGTTAAGGAACCTAATTTGTTGATTATGTTGTTTTCACACTCTAATGTACTGTTGGAATGTCCCTCTACTTATAGATAGTCGGGCGCCTTCGGATTATTTTAACGAAATTAATTATTGCCATTACGGGGTACATGCTATGTGTACATTTGTCTATAAGGATGGTGTAGGTGTGTGTGTGTTTGTGTTTGTAGCTTTGTGGGTATGTGTATGAGAGTGATTTCATGATTGCAAGTAATTTTGTGTAGTCTGCGAGTGATGATATTGATTGTAGAATCATTGTGTGGAATGACTAATGGCAGGAAATTAATCTTTAACTCATTGCCATGTATGTACATGTACATGTACATGTACATGCATGTATGTGTGTGTGTGTGTGTGTGTGTGTGTGTGTCTGCATGTGCAATACATGTGAACACATTTATATCATGTTTCATGTGTTAAGTGGATATTCTCCATAATATGCTTATATTCGCGTTATATCATTATTCTCATTCCCTTTAAAAAACAATTATCATGAAGATTAAACTTTGATGGCAGACATAACAGAAGTCATACTAGTCACATAATATCGACTGCCATGTGTGTTATTGATATTAAGCAAAATATGCCCTTTGACTATTCCTCCAAGAATTGATCACAATTAGCATAATATTAGCAACAACTTTATAATAATAATAATAATAATATATTATTTTGCTTCTTTCTTGTATTCCTCATTCCTTGGTGTAAACAATGAGATATTTTAAGACTCGGAGCTTAATATTCCTTAAAATTTTATTAATAGCACTTTCTGCATATCCCTTCGTTACTCATTATTACATAAAACCCCAGCTGCAACAGCTGTGGGTCTCCAATAGTTGTAAGCCATTTAATCAGGTGTTTATACTTGTGCAATTAAGACACCAACTGAAGTGGTTATGGGTGGCTATACACATTAGTGTAAGTGCTTCGTCTAGTTGGATGCGGTTTTATATGGTACCCTCACGCATTTTATATTAATGGATAATGGTCTGGCTATTTTGTCTGGTTGTAAGTGAAGGAAGAAATAGGAAAGGTTTTGTGGTTGGGAAATCCTATAAGACATAGAGACCTCATAATGAACCAATGGATGGGTCTTCATATACATTCGTGTACATTGTATGTGGTAGTCCCTATCCGGCTTCTAACAAAGGGAGCTATAGGACCTCGTGACGGACCATGTGATTTCTGTACTATAATTGATAGGCGTACATTGTATGTCTCACATTGTTAGCTAATTGTCCTCTGCATTAGTAGTGAGACAATCGCTACTAAAAGGTTTCATTAGAAATGGCTGTAAGATCCCCCTCATAGACTTTGTGGTTTTTATATAATATTATATACCTATTGATGTATCTTTGCTTTGTATTGTGTTGCATTATCAGCTAACTGTTGTATGTGCTATATTTGAGAGAATGGCTTCAATGAAAAGGAAGTTGCCATTGGAATCAAACAGTCAGCTAAGCCTTAATAGTTAAATATGTGCTGAATAAGTTTGTGCATATTATTGTTATTAGTGTATGTTTACTACCATTCATCTATAATTGGTAAAAATGGTTAGTCCTAAAGGAAACAATGACAGAGTTCCCTAATTATAATTGATACTGAAAGCGTGTGTGTTTATTTGCTTAATGAGCTGTAATTGATGAGTAACACACATAGCCATATGCACAGAGGACCCACATGCACTGTTTCCATTTGATCCAGTGTAGTAGATACAAGCCCATATTTGAAGAGAGAGGTCCATCTTCACTAATAAATGTATGCACCACATAATTTATTGTGCTATAATCCACTTCCATATATATATATATATATTTCATGTACTTACTAGTATACAAGCCCATATGTGAAGAGAGAGGTCCATCTTTACTAATAAATGTATGCACCACATAATTTATTGTGCTATAATCCACTTCCATATATATATATATATATATTCCATGTACTTACTAGTATACAAGCCCATATGTGAAGAGAGTGGCCCTTTATAGTGGTACCATATAGCGGGAAATTTTGAAAGGAGTTTAATTTGGAGAATTGCTAAAATTTTGGTGATTGGCAGCAGATTTTAATTTGGCAAATTTGTGGCCATGTGCCATTTGAGCATGCGCATAATGGCTTGTAAATGGTGGATTTTTATTTTTGTGAATGGCTTTTAAAACGCCAAATTCCCCAAATTTAATTCTCTCCAAAATTTCCCTCTATACAGTATGCACCACATAATTTATTGTACTATGCATGTAATCCACTTCCATATATATATATATATATATATATCTCATAATTATGACATCATCCTTTGATGTAGTCGGGTTTATATTTTTGTATATAGACCTGCCATTCAGAAATGCTGTCATCATTATGAAATATATCCTATATAACATACTAAAACTGGTCTATATACAAAAGATATAGACCTTTGGTGGGTGTCCTCGGATGTGATATAGCCCTTGGGCCTGCGGCCCTCGGGCTATATCACATCCTTGGACACCCACCTCAGGTCTATATTTTTGTATATAGACCTGTTTAGTATGATATATAATACACATATATACTTATTCCATGTACCAATAAATGAATGAGCATTTAGTTGTGGTTGTATATTATATATTTGTACATTTAAACTAGAAGGAATGCAAAAGATTAAGAGACTCTGCCTCCTAGTCACACTCAGATGTATGCATGTATACAGAAACACTCATTAGTAAGAGCTTTGCCCAATATTGCAATACCTATGTTATTTTGTATAGTAATTATTATCGAATTATTTATATTTATAATATGATTATGCTAGAGTTCATTTGTATCTGAAGCATCCAATAAAGGGTCTGACTACGTAGTATATTAATGGCACACCTTGAACTCCAAAGAGATTGAGTAACGTTGTTGTAACAACTTCCAGATGTTATGTAATCGTATTTTGTAATACGATACTATTAGTTTGTCTGTGCCTTCTGCCTCTCTGTCTCGGTTGTTTTTCATGAAGTGATTATATTATGAAAACATTAGCTTGCATTTGAGTGTGTGTGTGTGTGTGTGTAGCTGCAAAATGTATTTTTTAGAATATTATGTATGATGTTCACTTTAAGGTCATTATAATATCATTTCTCACCTATATGTCACACTATTCCTTGCCAAAAGAGCTCCACCCTAAAGGATATATGCCGTTATATATTTTAGGCTTACTGCATTCAATACTATTAGACTAGCGTGGCTCTTCTCTCTTCTCTGTGGCAGCTGTGACAACAGTGTCCGTCTGTTACAACTTAAAGTCACGAAAAGGACACACATCTTAGAGTCTAAACCTTAGAGTAATGCAATAAAGCATGGGCTATGTGATCATAAAGGACTGACATATGACACTAACACTCTCTCTTCTCCCTTCTATGTGTTTTGATTGCAATTATTGGCACCTGTCCCTGCAAAAGCTTTACACATGCTCATGGAACACTCCGAGCCACACCAATATACATAATGGTTTCCAGTTATCTTGTTATTCCATTAAATGTGGGACCTTTAGACTTTGTAAATAGTCTTTGTAGGTGTAAGTTCTAGCCTTTGATCATATTAAATGGCATGCATGTATGTACATTATGATCCTTCTCTATGTGTCTGTGTCTGTGTTGTTGATACAGGCTAATTGTGTTTCATCAAAAATGGTTAGGAGGGAATTCTTTATTTTTATTGCATTTTCTCTCACTGTGTATACGTGTGTATATACGTATACTCATGCGGTGTATTAGATTTGCTGGAAGGGAGGGATATTATTAAGGGAGGGGTAGCACTATTGGGTATTATTTTCTCTCACTGTCTGAGACATGTGATTGTTTTAATGTATAAACAGTGAAATCATCCGTAAGTCACGTCTCGACTTGATTGATGTCCCAGTCCGTGACATTTTATTAAATTAGTCTGCTGCATTCACACAGGTTTAACAGAGCCTGCCCCAGCCTGCCATAAGGCAAAGGGTGCATGGTATGGCTGTTGCCGTTTGATTTCGTGAGGTCGGTATTTTGTGCTAGCTGTTTACGCTCAGCTTCCATTTACCTTGTCTCAGTTAGCTTTTATCTGATATATTATAACAACAGAGCATGCTAAGTGAGCTAAGCAGCATGTTTCATGACAAGCCAAGCAAGCAATACATGGCAATTAGAGCAACTTTTGAAAGTTTGTAAAAAATCCAAATTTGATTGGAATCAGCTCAAATTTTTTACACAACATAAGAGCATGTATATGTATCAGAAAAAAATTATAAAAATGGAAAATTCCCTGCTTTTCATTTTTGGTAAAAAATTTTGCCATTGTCCCTGTACTATAGTACAGGGACTTGATCCCAATTTTGGAACAACTTTTTAAAATTTGTAGAAAAATTCAATCTTGAGTGGAATCAGCTCAAATTTTTTATGCATCATAAGTTCATGTATGTGTATGAGAAGAAATATATAAAAATGAAGAAATCTCTCCAAGTCATTTTTGACAAAATTTAGCAAAAGACTAAAGTGAGACCAAAGTCTCCCTAACCTCCCTCTAGATCTAACAGTGTTGATAATAATGATGATAATAATAATTATAGTACTTGATTAGTTATATACTACAGTATAATATACATGTACCAAATGCGAGCAATATTTAGATTAACTAAGTGGCAGTTCCACTATTGCAGTTTCCCCTTCCTGCCAGCCTGTTATTGCTTGCAAACATACATGTGGCCTCTTTAAAGCCCACTTGATAATCAAATGCACACATAAGAATGAGGTCAGACCATAACTGTCCAATTATTGCTGTGTGTGGTAATAATCGCATTAAGCATGTATTTTAGCTCTCATTTATTGTGTTTTATTGTTTGTGTCTCTGGTGGTCTTTGCTAATCATTCTTATTAGTGGCAGTCATGTCACACATTCACACCCACAATTGAGTTATTTCTTTATCAGCTTCATCATGTGTCACCGCTGGCTGACCTTCATCATTAGCTGATAAGAAGAGGCTTAATAAGATTGGACTCTCTCTCTTTATTTCATAAGCCGTTCGTTATAATTTCAAACGCTTGGCATTACAGTCTTGTGGTTTGAAAGTTTGCTGACATTGATGGTGAGCCCACCTGAATGAGTTTGGACTGCTTACTACACTTATTGCTCATCCTACACTGTTGTATGTCCCAATTTACTCTACTGCTAATTACAAAGACTCAGTTATGGTAGTCCTTTATCAAATGCAACTATAGAAGTCCTATAGTTGGCAATTATATCCTACACAGAACTGATTCTACTCTGTGAATGTCACAAGGAGCCCTCTTTATTACTCAATACATGGTTCCCACTGGTAATTACTCTCTAAGTATACTCTATATGGTCTCCTACTGATAAAGACAGTTACATGGTCACTGTATAAGGTCTCTTACCAATAAAATACATGTACATGTACACTCTGTATGGTCTTTGTACTGTATATGGTCTTCCTTCATTGTAATCCTCTGATAAGGAAGGACAATAGTACAATGCATACAATGTGTATGATGTCATCTTGATCAATAATGCTATTACACACACACACACACTCTCTCTCATATTTGTGGCCAGCTGGTTGCTACTCGCCTGAAGTTCTTTTTATGTGTATACCACTGATGGCATGCCTTGTACAAGAGTTGTATGTGTGGCATAACATTTTATAATATCCTTCTTTTAATCTCTTTGTTGTTGACGCTAAAGTTGCCGATTGTCTACGCTCTTGGCATTCTTTGGAGGTCAAAGGGACACCGTGAGCTCATTAGAGGCATTAGAGGCACTAGTCACCTCATCGTATACGAATGTATTGTTTGTGTATGCATGTATAATATGATACGTGGTGTATACATGTAGTTCAGGTTGTGTAGGAAGGTTGCATATATGGGATACTCTGAGAATGACTGTGCATTCTACATATTGTGTAGGCGATTGTTGGTGCCAATGAGTCTGTAATGCACTTTACAGCTTACAAGTTTAATGTATTTACAGATCACATGTGTTTCCTGGGACTTTTTGTTATTAGTATGTGTTTGTGTGTTCCCCTTTATTTCGGCTACGGATGTTTTTCATTACAAACTCTCTTTTTCTCTCCTTCCTCCCTCCCTCCCTCCCTCCCTCTCTCTCTTTTTTCCATTATAGGACACAGGCAGGACTCTACTGTATTACGAATCAATGAAATTAATGTCACACCAAACCTAGACTGATCCAACCTAGCTGTTCCATGTCAATACTCTTAACATGGCACTGGACAGGCTTCTGACAATTTAATTCATTTCTTTACAGTCTGTGTGTATGTATGTGTGTGTCCTTCAGTAATTATTAAATTCTTGCTGAGAGGGCGAGTATCCTGGAGTAGTTTATACTAGTGCAAAAGAGTTTGGCTTTATCTTTTTCTTAAAAATAAAATATCAAACCACCACCACGACATATCACTAATAATAATGAGAACTAGTAGAGTTAGTACTGTATATACATACAAGTGATGCCCAGGTGCCTCCATTGTAAAAATGAAATTCTTGTACTCTTCCTTTACCTCTTTACTGAAGTTTCTAAAGTATGTGTGTGTGTGTGTGTGTGCATTATCATGCGTGTGTAGTGGAATTATGTGCACGTGTGTGGAAAATGTGGTTATTGGTTTTGTGTGTACGTTGATGGCGTGTGCATGTAAAAAATAAATTTCAAATTTGTTTTTTCCTCCTCATCGCTTTTAGCTGACCTTTCCCCTTATCAGTAGCCAGAGGACGATTATTCCTAGCACTAGGTGTGTTCCCATGCCAGCATAGCCAATTGATATCGTTACCAATTCTATTCTCAGTCTGTAAAAAAGAATAAAATTTAATAATTACAAGTACATGTACATGTGTGTCAATTAATAGGTAATCAATATGAGTAGCAGGTAACGTAATACGTCTTTATTTAGTTATTATTATATCAAGAGTGGATAATTATATTTAATTTAGCTAAAAAGTACATGTAATTAATATGTGAATATTTTGATATGTGTACATTTAGAATGTGCTGTGTGTCAAGAATCAAACAAAAATCAAAATATAAATAAAACTACAAATCAAGAGTTCAATATTATAATACAGTAAGTTGAGGAGGAGGGGGAAGTGTCTAATGGATTGTAATGCAATAGCAGATAATGTGTATGGGTGTGTGTGTGCATGCTGTGGGACTAATGCAATGAGAAACGATTCTAAATTCCTCCTTTCTTTCCTCAATCACTCCCACACGCGTGACCCACGATTACAAGACACACTATAGTAAGAAAGTGTTGTATCGTTTACAAATTGCAACAAATTAAACTCCGTCTGTGGGAGAGAAGGCCAGTGGGATGAGAGAGAGAGAGAGAGAGGGTGATCATATAGAGGCTGGGCATGTACATGTACATGTAGTAGGATTAGGCTACTATGAATTGTACAGCTCGTGACTTGGTGTGTGCCCCCGTTGTGTAGGTATGCTAGCATGAAAGGTGTGGGAGTGTTCGTTGGCTGAAAGGCATACTACTGCATGAGTATAATTTAATACACCTGTTGTGATCAATGTTTGATCGATGTGACATGTATACAACTCTTTTTAGCCAAATATTGAGAATAATTGTGACCATATGTTTATACGTGTGCATGTATGTGGGATAGAAATGGAAAGATACTGCTTCATTGTATTGTGTATTAGAATCGAATGGAGAGATGATAGAAGCAAAAAAGAGAGAGACGTCCCACCCATACTCTGTATAGTACATCCATTTTAGCTATTGGGGATTCTTGTACAGTTAAAACTAATGCCATGCAGTTCAAATAGGCTATTGTGAAGTTCTTACAGGAATAGATTTACCATATATAGATTCCGGTTTAATAATATCATTCATCAGAGTATTGAATTTTAACAATATTTTCCTGATAGTCATGACATGTCATTCAACACATAAAAGTGTTTGACCTCTTCATTCCAACAGCTACCAATCAGCTGCCACCACATTTAATATTACCCACCACATTAATACTCTGAAACCAGCATCTCTTCTTCAATGGCTTTCATATGGTATACAAACCATACGAATGTGGTGAGGTTTGTTGTACACACATAGAGATGCATATGAGACAAAAATGTACACGTACATATATGCACACGAATGCCATGCATGTGTAACATCGTTTTTTGCTTATTGTCTGTTTGTAAAAACAGTTTCTAAAGATAGCCTTTGTTATTAGGAATACAGATGCATAGATGGGAAGAAAAGCTCATTATTAATTACCTTTATTACAAACATTAATTTAAAATGTTTAACCACATGCACAGAAATACACATGCTCACGTACATATACACAGAGACCAGCTGTGTGTGTTTGTGTGTGAGTGTGTGTGTGTGTGTACATGTACAAGCATATATTATTAGACTTTACAAGGCACTCACTTCACAAACACACAAACGGCAAACGAATTATATAGTTGACCATTATAAACAAATACGTCCTGTCTGTACATCTCAAAGGTAAATCTTTAGCCGCACAAAGGAATAAGTAGAGCCTTGGGTGATGGTATACAAGCATACATGGGAAACAAATGTAATAAACAGGAACAGATTATGTCCATAAAAAGCAAACAATTAAACCAAGGGCTGAAGCCTACACAGTAACACAGTGTACATCAATTTGTACATACATGTATGTATGTACGCATGTATTTGGTATATATCATATGTACATCTTACGTAAAATGACAGACTAGATTAGATTTAGCCTTTTTTTGATGCATTGGTTTGTACATAATTAAGATTAATCTCTCTGGCTGTGTTTGTGGTTCAGCTAGGGACTCAAGCACATGTACAATCATGTTAACAACCCTTGTATGTGTATGTGTATGTAAAGCATGACGTAATCCATGGGTCGATGAGTAATGGGTATACTGTTATCGATATTACACTGACTTACTAAAGTATCGACAGTTTTGATTATAAGTTTAATAATCGCAAACAATAATCATAAATTTTCCTTCTGACCACAAACACACACGGACAAGAGGCTAATACAGTCTATAGACTATAGAGCTAACAGATGTTAAAATAAATTAAGCACACACACACACACACACGCACTACAAGAATGACCATTAAATTATGCCAAAATATAGCCCAGAGGTAAAGACACACACATTCAAACAGCTGTTTCTTTAGTTGACACAAGGAAATGCCTTTTTAGAGAGAAAGAGGGAGAGACACAATAAGAGGAGAGGTATTGGATAACGTATGTATACCAAAGGAAACTTATTTGTTAAATAATTCAGATAGTGAGTGCAGTACACAAACCACAAACATGTTAATAAAAATTACAGAAACTAAGGCATGTAGAAAGGACACATGTAACAGATACATGTACATGTAAATTATTGTACGTCTAATAATATTTCTTTTTTTCTCACACTTACTTTTATTCTAGCTCTTTCATGTGTACATTGTACATGTACATTACGCATATAAAAGAGCTAGAATAAAATACATGTATGCTAAGAAAAGCTGAATAAAATACATGTATGCTAAGAAAAGCTAAGAGAAAAGAATAAATACCGTAGACGTACGTTCATTGCATAAAAATTACAAAAATTTATTCATAGCCTCAAGGCATACAAGCGTATATAAGGTGACATACATGTACATGTACATACGTGTACAAGTTTACATAGAACACAATGCATGTATACACATATTACATGTTACATGTAATAACACATATTACATATTACACATATTACATGTACATGTAATAAAGATAAAAGAAGTACACGTATGTGTTGTGTGTGTGTGTGTGAGGTCCGGCCTCTTTCTCATTCATGAGTATAGTAACTATAATTATTAGTGCTATTATTGCTAAGCTTCCTTTACTTGTAAAACAGTGACGTGTGCTAAATAGTATTCACAAGGACATTACCAGCTATCCTATGCATGTGTGTGTGTGTGTGTACAAATATTGTGGGCGTACGGACAAGATTAATGAAATTATGATTATGATAATAATGAAGAGGAAATCAAATTTAATAGTAGGATTCTGGGATGCCGGCTATAATGACCGTAATAGGAAAACACGCATAATGACAAGTGTTATTCTTGAATTATATAGACAAAATGTCATTATACCCGTATCTCATATACGAATGAACTCTGTATTGCATCACTGATGTGAATAATGATATTACTAAGATATGCGGAAAAAGGATTTAATGTACAAGACAGCTATAGGTACAGATACATGCCAATATCAACTCTCATTGAATTACATGTACATATCTCTTAATTGTGACATGTACATGTGTATTTGTATAATAAAGCTGTATGAAAATGACACCTCAGTTTTGTAGCATATCACTTTATTGAGGAATAGAGTAAAAGCTACTACTGATTTTGTCTTTGAGTGTACATGTACTACATGTAGGTCCATAATGTTTATGTACATGTACATGTATAAAATACAGTATTATGTGTATGTAAATGTAGAATGTTTCCTTACACGTAAGTTTGGAACAATATGAAAAATAGATATCCAAAGAAGAGAGGGAAGAGAATGACCAGTGAGACTATGATGGGGAGGATTGTTTGAGTTAAATTTCCTTTCATGCCTAAGAGATGATGAGCAAATTAATTCATTTAAATTCAGTACATATGTACATGTACTGTACATGAAGAATCATTCTCAAATAAAGTACAATTGAGCTAGGATCTTATTTTTGATAAGTGCTGATTGGTAAATATCATAGCCATAATGCAGGGCCACTGAAATAAATTTGCTCATTTCTTTAAATCCTCATAACTTGAGAACTTTGACTCGGAATCAGCTCAAACGTTCTACATAGCATAAGTACATCAATATGTATCAGAAAATGTAATAAAAATTGGGGGTGATTTCGGAGCCATTTTTTGGAAAACGCCATGGGCTATAGTACAGGGATTTTCCCAGAAATTGGCCTATTTAAAAAAATGGCCATAACTCAAAAAATTTAAGTCTGAATCAGCTCAAACTTTCTACACAGCATAAGGACATCACTATGTATCAGAAAATGTAATAAAAATTGGGAGTGATTTTTGAGCCATTTTTGGAAAAAAACCATGGGCTATAGTACAGGGTATATTTCATAAAATGGCAAGTATTTATAAATGCTTATAACTCAGTCAGAATCAGCTCTAACTTCTTACATAGTCCTTGAACATCAATAAATTATAACAAAATACTACATAAAGTACGTTGTCCTTAAATTTAAATTTTTCCAACACTCGATTATACATCTATTACCATATATGGTAGTCTTACACATAAAAATTCTAGCTCCATCGAGTGCTGCAATCAAAACCAGCAAGAGAAGCTCAGGGACGAAATTTCTTGTCGGGTAAGGAAAAAATAAACCTGGCAGAAAGAGAGGGAACGGAGGAGAGAAGATCATTATAAAAACTATGAGTACCACTGTTTACACTGTGCACCATGTTGCCATGGCAATATGTACTTAATTAAACAATTATTATTAAAAATACATTTTTACTGTTTACCTTTGTAGCAGATAAGACCCACTTCAAAAAGGTAGAGGAGAACCAAGTAGAGAGAGTTAAAGTACAATACCATTTGGAGAAGGAGAGGCCCTATGGCAACCATGGCTACCTCGAAGATTAAGATTAGATATTTTTCCACAAACTCGGTCACACCCACTCAGAATTAATTATTGTTAATTATTAGTTAATAACTACAATAGTAACGCATGTATTATAGATTAGTGCATGAATACTGCTTACTCCTTATTATGTGTGCAGCTTTCTTGTGTGACCAGTGACCGTTTTGGTAGGAGCTCAGTTGCAGGGATGTTTAGATATGTCAATCAATGTAAATTATCAGTGAATATATATGGGCAAAACAACAGGATATAGGATTATAAAGGAATCATGAGGTTCAACATTATGATGCATTTATTTGTAATGAAACATAATAAGCACAAGTGAAGTAAACACTCTAGACTTCTCTTGTTTGTTTAATTGGATGGGAACGATTGTTATATCTGTGTAACACGTCCTGTCTGGAGACTATAACAGCTCGACACACCCTATGTTTCTATGATAACAGAATCAAGGATTGGTAATCCGATATTGCTTGTGGGTCAAACGCATGCTATTGTATGCACTCCAGTTAGATGGCCATTAGAGCAATTTTATCACTCCATTAAGCAGTAATTATTTACATTGAGGCTGATTATGTGTGATTGAGAGCCAGGCAGTGAGACTGAGCCTAATGTATCAAGGAATTCATAAATGTTTCTGAGAAAGGCATCAGAGGAAGACAGGTCTAGACTTTAATCATTGGATTGCATGCATGGTAACAAAATTTAAATGCCATATAAGTGAAATACTGTAGTACGGTCGAAAAATAAACCTTTTCGTTTAAGGCTAAATATCCAATGATAAAAAGGCTGCTAAAGTCATAAATGGAAAAATAGGCAACATCAAAGTGCTTGATGAAGTCGATTATCCTTTGTATTTCTTATATAATTGTGCGTAGCTGGTTTGTGCACATGTGTGGCCGTTGTGCCTTCCTGACGCTTATTCTGGTTATCTTGCTTTGTCACTCTAACCTCTCTTCGTTTCATACTTCATTAAATCACAAAGCCACAAGCAATACTTCAGCTATTTGCTCCACAGCCCATTTAACAAGCTTTTTAAATGCCTGACTTCCAGTATCCAATGATGTATCACTCAATTCTCTTTAGCTATACAAACTCTTTTTATGAGCTATGAAGAGCATTTTAATGTGGGGCATTAACCTTTCTTAATATCATAGCAGAACTACAAGCTGTAACATGTATGCTTATGCTACTACACCCATCATTATACAATAGAGATTGAATTACTTGAGTATTACTCTATTCAGAACTACCGGGGGATTCTATCTAGCAACAGTCATGCTGATGTGTGCAATGATAAGATATCATGCATTTCCTTGCATGCTAGCTAAGCCATGCTTATCAATAAGTGTAGGTGTAACTCTCATTTGCTACCATTAATTGTGTCTTGATGTTGATAGTGTAGTACACACACAGACAGAGACAGACTCTTGAACTGTGTACTGCTGGTTTAGCTGTGAGGGAGTGCTTTAAGCGTACAATATGTTTTGATAATAAAAAGACTCTTTGTCTGTTTAATATTAGATTTTGCATCAAATTATAGCATACAATAGTAAACCTGCTGTTATTGGCCACAGGCAAATTGTCCCATTTCACTTTGACGCTAGAGCATAATGCCCTTCCTTATGACACAGTAGTACTATGAAATTTGATATGTAGCAGATTAAATCTGAGAGGGATATGTAATAATGATTAGCAGAAATCAATAGCTCAACTTGTTAGAGTTCACAAGTGCATTATGACACATCACTCCGTTACAACTTCATGCTTGTTTGCACTTATGTGCTTGCTATTCTTTTGTTAGATTTCAGCTCTCAGTGAGAGTCAGCGATAATGTCAGATAGCAATTGCATAACGAAGTCATGCGTCTTGTACCCTGTAATTGCATGCAATGATGTGTCAACACTTGTAATTAGAGAGAGAGAGAGAGAGTGATCGAGAGCAAGTGAGTAAGAGCATGTAAAAATAGACTTGTTGCTGCCCAAGCTAGCCCTGGTAAACATGTCTGCATGCATGCATGTTTGAGCAGATCTTTAGCATATAATGTCACACTGTGTGTTTGTAATATGCATACAACTTGCATGCACGCATATATAAATAATAGCTTGTTTGAATGTAACAATAGTAATGTATGTGTGGGTCAAATTAAACTTATACAAGTACAGTTCAGCTGCAAAGTATGCATGTTTGTCAGAGTCAATGCTATTCATACAAGGTAGGAGGTAATCTTTAATAGCATTAAAAACAGCTGCTATCATAGTAAGCTTGTTATTGCATCGTAAATTGACACATTGGATTAAATACACTATGACATTCATTCATTCATACTAACAGCTTTGTAATTAATATTACAGCAGAAGGCTGCTCCAAACTCTGTCACAACAGGACAGTGTACTGTAGCAACTAACAATCCCTCATATATGATACGCTATATAAGACATGCAATTAAGATTGACAAAGAAGGCATTATTGTTTAGGTATACAAAATATTGAATGCCAGTCTCTCCTTGTGTACAAACATCTGCCTTGCAAGCAAATATTTTAGCTTTTGTTGCATCATTTTATATACAAGACAGGAAGAGTATAAGGGTGCTATTTTGGGATGGTGATGCAGTGCCAGCAGTCTAACTCTAACTGCTTGTTATTGCAATCACTGTGTAGCAAGAGCTGCTAACACAGTCCACTGTTTGAGTGAATGGCTAACACATTTGCAGGTATAAGGTGCGTCAAATGGTGATAACGATGAGGTTTGCAATTACTTTTGAGTTTCAAGTGTTTTTTTAAAAGAAATTGCTATCATAATCAGTACAAATATTGAGTGATGACACGTTGGAGAATGAGACATAATGAATGATATAAGACACAGAAAAAATGAGAGAGAGAGAGAGGGAGGGAGAAAGATTACTAAAATTTCTCGGATTTGCTATTATACAATAATAATAATAATAATAATAATAACAACAACAAATAGATATTATAATTTGATATACATGTATGTAGAAAGGGATACGTTATTGCCTGCCAAGATTAAGTCCTAAGACCGTTTGATCTACTGAAGCTCACTTAATGTTAACATTTGGCTGTTGACCGCACCTCACACAAGTGCAGTCCGTAATCCTTGGGAAGTACATCAGCACTTTCTTTGTTACCTCATTCCCTTTGCTGTCAGTACATTTGAAGTCAACGGTTCTTTTTCTGACCTCGGCATCAAGGAAAGAGCAGCAGTTGCATACGCTTTCAACAAACGGTGGGCTTTGGATCACTCTTGTAAGAGACCTGCATCCTCCTTCGCAGTATGGGAAAGGCTCACGACCATCCTTACAGACTAGACCGGGCTCATTACCAGGATAGGAAATGGTGAAGTTCTTTCTCTTTCTATGACAGTGTGGGAAGTGATGGGCTGCTCCAGCATTCAGTGAACCAGCTTTGAGCTCATTTTCAACCTCCTGTGCAGAAGAATTTAATGCTGGAGGAGTTGTGGTGGTAACAGAGGTGTTGGCTGTCTCCTGACCATTCTCTGGTGCTGCTGTAGGGAGTGAATATGAGGCTGAGGCTAGGAGGAAGAGGATTAATACGACTGCCACGTGAATCCTTGGTAATTCTAAGTATTGCATCTTGGCTGAGTGATTGGTTCTTATTCTATGAGAGGGAAAGAGAGAGAGAGGGAGAAAGAAAGATGAAACATGAGCCAAACTCTCAAGTTGTCGACTTACTTGCTCGACAGAGAAAATAGATAGCAATGACAAATTTGCACAGTTCCTTGACGTTTATAATATTCCCAGTTAGCGAGTCAGGGATAGGAGAAAGACAAGAGATTGTGAGAGTAGATGAATGGTATGACTCTCCAGAGCTGCAAGGAGCGCTTTTTATACAAAAATTACGCGCCCACGCATGCTATTAACCTAATTATAACACACATAATATGCAGCAAACAAGTGAAAACTTGCAACTGCTTCCTCCCTTTCTCTCTCTGCTTGCTTTCTTCCTCTTTAAAGCTCTCCATTCATCCCATTTCTTTAGCCACAACTAGTACAGTTCCTCCATTACCAGGGAGTCAGCTAGTCTAAGTAAACAAAGGCCCCATTGTTTACCATAACAAGAGTGACCAAGCAAGCAATGAAGTAAGAACCTTCAAGATGACGTTATGCATTATGCATCTCTTTTAACAAACATTGAAGGCACGGGATAGAGAAAGTGAAGCGATATCCTCATTGTTTACCAATGGCCACGACTAACAGGTTATTTTACCAAGAGGACCCCGCCACACATACTGTAGAGCAAGATTCAAGTCCAAGTAATCTATCACATTATGTATTAAAGAAATAGTACTGTAGTCTGTAGCTTGTAATGCATATTATGTATTACAGTGCATCATTGTATCTTATAGAAGTAAGCCCAGTGCTTCTAATATAAACATTAAGCATAATAAACTGTAGATTGTATATGCATCTGCAGCACTCACTGGACTATGAGGGTTATTTTATACAAAGTATATTATCAAAAATTTATCTTAGCTCCCAAAATAAAACAAAGTTTATTATTATTATAGCTATCATTGTTATTTATTATTTATTATTAGTACTATTGATAATAATTACAATTGACTTTTGATTTGAAAAAGCTATTCGTTCTCTCTTATTCTCTCGTAAACACAAGGATGCCCTCACTGACGCTTGTATCCAAATTCTATCGCATTGTCCTCTCGAAAATCTCCGTATCGCCATATATTTACCTACAAGAGACAGAGGAGGGAGAGGAGGAGAGAGAAAAGGAAAGAGGAGACAAAGAAAATAGAAAGGAAATGGAGGAAAGAGAGAGAAAGGGTAGGAAAATGAGAGTACATTATGCATGCATAAAGACAAAAAAAGAAAGGCAGAGAGAGAGAGAGAGAGAGAGAGAGAGAGAGAGAGAGAGAGAGAGAGAGAGAGAGAGAGAGAGAGAGAGAGAGAGAGAGAGAGAGAGAGAGAGAGAGAGAGAGAGGGAGAGAGGTAAAGAGAATTCATATAAAAGAGAGCCTCCATAATTACAAACATCAACATAATCGCAAAATTCTTCAACAAAAACAATCAACCCACAAAAGCGACCTCTGTTTGGACTTCACCCTCTTAAACGCATTAAAAAAAACGTGACGTAGCTATAGCCATGAAATACATACGCTCTCGACCCAATTATAAGTAGCCACATTCATGGCATACAATTAGCAAATTACCGCATGCATTCTATACACACGTGCATGTACACAAACAAACACACACGTATATCATTTGTTGACTACACCTGTGACTTGACCACATTCAACATGGGTCAGTGATGTTATAAGAGTGGTTCCTTTTACTTGTGAGATTCATAACAAGTGACAATGAAATCTAAGAGAGTGTCATTAGAGCACTGCACGATATGGCAACCCACAACCTAGGCCTACTTTCCTTTGAGGAATGATTTCAAACTAAAACATCAGTGACCAAGTATTAATTATTTATAAGTGATATTTTAGCGTGGGAATGGTTCTAATGGTACGCTTTGAGAAAAAAATGCGAGTGAGTGATTCTGAATGCGTGTAACCTCCATCCCATTGAGTATATTATTTTGGTCATTAAAAACTAATCAAAACATAAAAAGTTAATTGACTATATACCACAGAAAATAACATCTTTCTCTCTCTCCATTTATTCTTTTTTACCCTTAATCCTTCATTTCCTCTTCTTTTCTCACTTCCCCTCTCTATCTCACATCCACACTCATACCCACTTATTAAATCACTAATTAAACACACACACACTCTCTCTCTTAGCTCACTTCTCAGTATGTGAAGTAGAGGTGAACTATCACCCTGTTGTAAGTCCCCTAACATCTACAGCTGCTACAATGCCTGGCATTACAAAAACTGAACATCATGTGTCTACTATATCATATAATACTATACCATAATACTACACACATATACACACACACACACACACACACACACACACGCTTACACTAGAGCTGGCTATTCATTGAATATCAACAGTTAATAAGTGAACTATGGCTCTCACTATCTTGTCTATAAGCTCACACAATGGACTATATAGTATAATCATTGGCTACTTGAAGACAAAGACTACAGGGCATGGAGTTATATGGAAGAGAAGACTCAGGAAAGACATACTGGAATGGCAGCTCAGTGTGTGAGTGTGTGTCCATATATTGTGTATAAGTCATTAGGGTGATGACCACAGTGTGGATTATATAATACATGATGGAGTGTGGGACTGAATATACATGTACACAGTGGAGTCAATAATTAATTGGATTGGCTGTAGAGACAGTTAGCCAAGAGTATAACGATAGTAAACAGAGCTAATGAGTCTTTGGACATCATTGGGTATCACAACTAATGGTAAGATCAACAACTGTAACAGCAGTAAGTGACCACAACCGTATACTTAAGCATTATAGTAAATACAGGGAGCTAGAGGTAAATATAAAAAATGAAATAACCGTTACAAAGAGTACGTGATCTAAGTATAATATAATAATCATTTTAAAACTAGTATTATAATTATTTTAAAATCAATTGTTCCAAAGGAACAGGTGCATCGATTCACACCTAATGAATAAAACCACTCACACCCACACGCATTAATAGAATATAAACGTAATACACGTACGTGTATATACTAGAAGCCACATATACACACGTGCAGGGCAATCAGAGAGACTCACGAGTCTTTACAAATACCCACACAGTCAGTCACACGCTAATAGACAAAAGGGAGCAAGGCCTAGTTCTAAAAATGAATTACAAAAAGGGACACACATAGTGTATGTCACACCTGTTTCAAAGGGACACAATGGAATAACATGCACAGCTCTAAATTAACCACACTGATGCAAGGCTGACAGAACAGAGCATATGGTGGCGTGTTAGATGAAGTGGTACACAGCATCCACAAAAATTAAAAGACAGTAACCACTCAAGAGCTCATCAAACCAATACCAGCCTAACCTCAGCTGTCTCACCCTCTTTTAGAGGTGCATCTCGGGATAAACTGTGTAGTGTAGATCAAAGATAAGAGATTATGTAACAACAACAGTTGATACAAGAGCGCTTTAACCCTAAGGCTCTGTCTCACTCTCTTTCTCTCTCCTCATTTCTCAAAACAATCAACAAAGACAGGGAACAGGGCGAGAGCAACAACAAATTAGCTATACAGTAATCACGTAATTAGCATCAAAATTAATTATAAAATCTTCCTATGCATCCTTCTCACACACAACAAACACAATGCATCACAAACACAATGCATCACATACAGTATGTGCAAGCATGTATGTAATTAATTGCATCGCCGGTGCTACCATAGAGGGCGATGGGTTGTAAGTCTAGTAGATAATAAAATTACAAGCAAAAGCAAAACAGAATATTATACAATCATCGTGCCCATGTGTGTCAATGTGTGCATGTTCAGAAGAATTTCCATTGAAAATGTGTTGACAAGAATTTTGTAATTGGATGAAGAGCATGCACAAGATGCCTGTAATGCATGGACATGCAAATGGGGCATATACTGGCAGGTATAACGGACTCTGTATCTGACTAATTTGGTAGAAGTAACTAGTGCCTAAGCTACTGCCTCATTAAAACTGTGTGCGATGATAGCTAGTGGACATAGGATCGAAATTCCCCAAATGAATAAAATAACGTCACACCACAAAAATTCAGTTTTAACATACTTCATTAACATATACACACACACACATGTATATATTGTATATGCATTAACATGTTATGATAATAAAATGTGAGTCTTAAAAATGAAATAAGAGCAAATCCCCCACTCATTGCGTAACTCCCTAAAATGTACTCGCGTATCAAAATTATGAACAAGTTTACCAAATAAAACTCCCAGTAGAAGGCCTTATGAGTAAACTCAGGCACCATATCAACATCTATAGCTACCCACACACACACACACACACTCTACTAGGAGGGGGCAAGAGGTCAGTGTAGTACAAGTTGCATGTGAACTTGTTGAGTCAGCTATGATTCACATATACTTGCAGACTGGTTTCCAATACAGGTATATCCATATTTATAACAACTGCATGTCATGATAGACAAGGTCTATCTATACAACAGCTATAAAAACTAGAGCATTATGGAAACGACATGTAGGATAAAAACAACACACACACAATGGTCTACATACATATAAAAGTAATGAGAAATATACATACATATGCTTCAAAATAGTAGCTTTAATGCATGAATTAACAAAGAAGAAGAGAGGAGAGAGCTAAAGCAGAGGTGACTGAATACTGTGATGTATACCACGTGGCTTTGTGGGCTCCAGTCCAACCAACAGGGACACAATAACAACTGACATAATCTCTTCCAGAAACTAATGTTAACAAAACAATCATGTCCTTGAAAAAAATGTATTTCTACTATAATCTTTTGTGGTTTGTAACCTACTCTTTCTCCCTCTTTATGACGTCAATACATGTACATGGCTGTGTCGCATTACTTTGTGACAAAGAAGTAACGCATGACTAGTGTACAATATATATTATATACATGCAGACCATAAAAGTAATGATCATCATTAGTAGGGGGAGACTGGGAGTCTAAGAATCATCCCTCATAAATATAATAACAAGATCTTAAAGCTCAATATAAACTAACTAATTGGAGGACTGACTGCACCCAAAAATAAAAGAAAAGAGAGAGAGAGGGAGGGAGGGAGGGAGGGAGAGAGAGGGAGGGAATGGATAATGAATGGAGGAGAGAGAGAGAGAGAGAGAGAGAGAGAGCAGACCAGATCAGGTACACACTGTGAATGATATAACAACAAATATGGTCTTTATCCCAGCTCAAAGACACAATATTCCACAGAATAAAGCAATGCCTACCATTCCACAATACCCCCTAGGACTTGAAAATATTTATAGAATGAAACAGAGAAAGTATTATTATGACTGACTGGACGTGTGGCCTGTCTACCAGACAAACCTCTTGACACTCAGAAACTATCCTAATACACAGTTGATTCCCAGACTATTAATGATATATGTAACTATTGAACTACTTAGCTTCCAGCTGTTTCATTTATTTCCACATTCAACTTGTACATGTATGAATGTAGATACATAATGATATTTATAATATGCACAATCACAAAGAATGAGCCTTTATTATAGGTGAGAGACATACAAGCATGCTTTTGGCTCTAAAACAAAGAGGCACACACACACACACACAATAAAAACTCTACCATACCAGACACATATACTAGAGACACATACCATGTGTACATACTGGCTCTGTTAATGATGACTGTGCACTCATTAACTAAGAGAAAACTTGTACAGACAGACTCCTACTCAATACACATTGTACATTAATTAGAAACAGACTCCACTAGTGATCACTTACTACTTACTACAGAGAAAAATATGCGAATAATGAGATATATATATACACACTCACATAGAGGCACACTTACAATTCATTATATATATAGACAATCCACTCACTCACTAGCTACAACTACCAAGAGAAACACAAGGCAGACAGCTTATTGGGAAACAATAGACAGACAAATTAGCAGACATAGACAGAAGACTATGACAGACAATGACACACAAGGGAGAAGCTAACCTCAGTATAGACACAGCATAAGGGACCATAGACAATAATAAAAATATAAGAGAGGGTTGCATATACTGCTCACATGTGAACCTTGTTTA